CTGTGACGAAAGAGACTCCATCAAACGTAATGAAAGGAAGAATTCTTCGTTCGAATACGAGACGTTTGGAGTCTGCAGAAGTTACATGTTATCGTGGGAATGATCTTCGACCAGCCAGGAAGATTGTGGTGAAGAATGTTGGAAAATCTATGGTGCGAATTCCAGATATCAATGACTTGAGTCACATGATGGAATACCTCGAATTATATATCAGTGTGTATCCCCAAATACTCACATACAGTAATCGAAGCGTGAGATTTGAGAAGGGAATGCAAATCGGGAACGTAAAATCGGTTATAACATTGCGACGTAAACACCCAAAATTACTTCGTGGGACAGGATAGTGTTGGATAGTCTATGATGCAAATTCTAAATATCAGTAGTTTCACTACACAACCGACATGACGATTGTATACAATACCTGGAATCGGGTGAGTCTGTTCCAATTTCGGTTGTTAATTCTAATACTAACGAGTGCATCCCAGATAATACAGAGTCTACATCCAATCGGAGAGATGTAGGATAAACTTAAGAAAACGTACAATAGATTACAGACACTTACACTCCAATTTAGTCTGTGGCCGACATGGTGCTTGTATAAAACAATGATTTCTTTGTATTGATGACTGTTTCGATTTTGAATTCCAAATACAGTTCATTCGTCGGTGCTCATCTAATACTCCTTGATTAACATAATTCAAATACTTCAAATAATCACAAACAAACAATTCAGCCTCACTTCTCATCTTATTCATAACCTTGTCGACTGACATAAAAGTGTAAAAGAGTGTAAGTATAATAATTAGGCTATACTCACGTTCTGTGGGAGTCATTTTCACAGTGGTTTCTTGATCATTGCTCCCATCATTAGGGATCGGTATCTTAGTGGTTGTTCGGTCATCTTCTGGTTGTATGATTTTATTGTCTTCTGAGATTGCATCGACAGTATCTTCTTGCCCAACGACCGGTTGTTTTCCGAGAGATGGATCATTATTTGTGACTTTTTCTTCCTGTTCAGCTGATTTATTAGAAAAAAACATCACTTCAATTACATTCATAAGGGCTACATAATTTTCGTTTCTAGAGTAACACAGATGTTTGTCACTGCTTATCACTTTCATCGACCTTGAAATAATGTAGTGTTTATAGAAACCATTGATTACTTTGTATTGATGACTGTTTTCATTTTCAATTCATAATACAGTACATTGGTTCGTGCTCATCCAATACCGATTGATGAAATTGCGTTATTGCTGGAATTGCTAGTTTATACTATAATTCAAATAGTCTTAAACGTCACATTGGCGTCGCGATGCAGCCTGTGATGGACCGGTTGGATACACATTCAAATGTAAATGCTTTCGATGATGACATGGAGAGGTTGGAAATGTGGACTATGACCAAGCAAGATACTGAGTATTTCAATATTGTGGCTCATTTCCTTATGTACGTGTGGAAAGAAGCATACAGGTTAATAAAGACTTTGACATTTCCAGACAAACCGATTTCACTCCCTTATGCAACTCTCAAGCAACTATTACTGAACCATGTAGAGTATACAAAGTTCGAATGCGGCAAAGGAGAGACATTCGATGAAATGACTCGCCAGAACATCAAGAATTCCACTACTTTACTACGTCGCCTCAGTCCACCTGAAATAAATCTCGTATTGATCCGGCAGTACAGTTAGAATGTATTTGGAAAATGGGTCATTTGAACCTCCTAATAACTCTATATATCTCAGAAATGATCTGTAACTCACTATAGCTGAGTCACACATACGTGAACTTCTTTTGGGTATCAAATAGTAAAAATTTCTATTCGAAATTCATCTGTTAATGCTATTTTTTGATTGAGGTTATGAGTAGATCAATATTAGGCCACCACTGAAAACCTGTGAGCACTGGACGGCCGTCTTGTCTTAATATGTGACCAATCCACGATATTGGTTGAAGTTAAATATTAACACTGTTGAATGCCGGTCAATGGTCTAAAGGTTAGGCGTTCACGCGTGGCATTTGAAGGTCCTGGGTTCGAATCCCGTGTGTGTGGTCGTTAATTCATACTACTGGAACGAAACGGCTGTCCAGTGTCTACACGCTTTCAACAATGATCCAACAGTGATCGATTCATGATCAAAACTCAACAATATCCACAACCCTACAGTGACACAAATCATCCATCTGATATAGGGTATTCATGAATAATCCACTTTCCCAGCACTACACACAGAACTTCTTATTCGTAATGTTACTAATTAGATTTTTTGACAAAATGTGTACAAAGTTACATGGACATGCATTTCATCTCCAGCAACTGGAGTCAAAGACATGTATAAGTTCGTTCGAATGTTCATGACGATACAAAATAGAACTAAAACAATCTATTTACCGAGATGATAACAAAGGTGTTTATCTGATAACTGTGAAACTCACAATGAAAGGGACTTCATTATAATGGTGACTATACGGTATTAGTTTTAAACCTAGTCTTATGACAGGACAGATTTGTGGGTAGTAGTGTAACGTCGTGTACTATATTACACCTACATAGCTTATTCTAGTTTCTGGACAGGCCAATTCACCTATAACGTTATGCGTCATATTTTGATCTTGTTAATTATTCGCTTATTGACCTTGACTATTTTTTTATATGAGCGTATGTGTATGCACACTTCTTATCCTACCTATCACATGTCTGTCATTCATTTTAGTCTGACTATAAATGTTGATTAATGCTTGCTTATAACGAGTTGGCTTCCCAGCCATCTCCACTCTGCGTCATCTTTCCTTCGTTTGCTTACATTTGCTAATGTGCTCACTGCCTTCTAGCCCATGTTAGTTATCAATAAAAATGTAGTTGCTACTTCCCTTTGTCTTCTGATATTATACACCGTTCAGATTGTTATATAACGGTTATCAAGACGATCGATTAACGAAGCATTACACTACAGATTAACACGAAATTATAACGGAAACTTAATCGTAATAAAAAAAAAATCACGTTTTACTGGATGGTATTAGTCAACATTTGGAACTTAACAGTTTAAATGAGGTTTTATATATAGGTGGAAATTTGCAGCTGACATTGAGTTTCAACATTGAAATGTATAGCAATTTCATCATATGATCATTTAGGAAATATTTATAAATAACCTTCCAACTATAAAAAGTTCGTCGTATAACACAAGATATTTATTTCCATATTACTCATTTACAAAGAACATTTTATGACTTAGTGTATTACAAAATTTTAAATATGCAAAGTTTTTATACTCTCAAAGAACCGTTAACAATTTTCGTAACCAACAGCATTTACAGGAGCATGAGTTCATCCATTCCCTCAGAAAACGGTGAAAATATTCTAGAATACCTCGGACATAGTCTCAACCTTAAGAAAACGAAGGAAGATAATTCAAAGATGGATAGCTAATGACTAAGTGATATTGCAACATGTAGTGTTTAAGAGTTGGTATTGATGCATATTTCCTATACACGAAACCAGGCTGGCAGATAGAAATAGCAGAGAGTAATGGATAATTTATTGAACCAAATTAGATCCACAGTGTGTATACATTTATATTCTTTAGAAAACTCAACTTTGTATTCTTTACCTAACATCACGTACAAATAGAAGCCAGTCACGTGTACATACCATTTGGTGATTTCTGATTGAACCACTGCATCAAGAGGTTTATCAGATCATAAATAAGATAACTTAATTGATACAACCACAAACTGAGTTCCAGTTTACGTTAATGGCTCAGCAAATTGTTCTTCTTTTGCTAAACGTATTTATTAGGCACTATGACCCTTCAATTGGTGTCACCATCTGGAAACACCGACTTCGGTGGCTTGGACATGTTTTACGAATGTCGTCCCAGAGAATTCCACGTCGTGCATTATTTGCCGACCCTGGGACTGGTTGGAGAAAGCGGAGAGGAGGTCAGTGTATGACATGGTGTCGTGGCATGAAAGAGAGCTGCAAAGGGCTAGCTTCTGTTGGTCCTTCACGACTCCCTGGTTGGGGTCCGAGAGATAGTGCAACACAGTGGCTAGAGACGTTATCGGATATGGCTCAGAATAGAAGCCAGTGGCGATCCTGCTGCAACCTTCTTTTACTTTCTACATAAAGAATGGTTCTAACTTTCCTAACTGAAAGAATCTTCTGGTTGTACATTTCAGCCCGCCTTATCTTTTCATCCTTTATCTACCTACTTTCATTATTTTGTGTGGCGCATATGTACCTGGTCCCCTTTTGTACCAATATATATGTGTTTAAATAAATAAATAAATGACCCTTCAACATTTAAATCATTACAAGCATAATACAAAGTTATAAATACAATTTAGAAATTGTTCTTCCTATCTTTTATTTTTAAGTAACCATAGGATCTGAGATAAAGTACTTTGTTTGTTTAAGTTCACAGCGTTTTATTATTTTTTTGTGAATGGAATCTACGTATTCATTTATTTATTTGAACACATAAATATTGGTACAAGGGGGAACCAGTTATATATGCCCCACACAAAAAATTGTCATTTCATTTAATTGTGTGATGGCTATGATACTGCACGGGTGCCCAGACCGAAGCAGGTGGTTTTCTTAAGGCGTCACACCCGAAGCCTTTGACCTAAAGGTCTGATCCACAAGGCAGTGGAGCATCCTAAAGAAGTGCAGTCACACGATTGGTTCATACGCCATTTGTTACCTCACGATCCCGGAGCCAATGTGCACCATTGATTTGGAATCGGGGGTTTTCAATTACTCTAAGTGGACTTTCAGTGTCCACCAACCCAGTAAGATGGTCGGACATTCGCTTTTCGTCTTCTCAATTTCCTAAACAACACCCGCAGCACGAGAAGGCAGTAGGACTTCACTGGTAAAGGCTGTATACGCGTTGCCGTATTCATTGTAGATATGAAATCATAATCTATGAAACTAATTACAATTTGACTACGATGTACCTCAATGTGTACAAAACTGAAGCCAAACTTTTTATACAATAAGCAAATATTTCTCACAACAAGAAAGAAAATAGAAATCGTATATAGACAATATCAACACTAAGTTGTATATTTTCAAGTGTAAGTCATATTTAGTTTAGTTTATTTTACATATCAACATTGATATAACTAACATATCTATACAATAATGATATACATACATATACGTATCTATACACAATGAGCAACCATTTGACGAGCAATCAATGATAATCATAACAATCTATATAAACAGTTTCCAAGTAAATAGTTTATAATTGTATACATTTACTGTAAATAATAGTAAATGACCATACTCCATGGAAACTTCAACAGAAGAAAGGGAGGGGGGAAGGGAATGAGAAACTGTAATTTCTGATCAATAAGATTGAAGACAACAAAATATTAAAAAAAAACTGTCAAAAGTATGATAAAAGACAGTTCACATTCATCATAACTGGATCATAAGTACTCGACAATGTACAATATAATGGCAGTAAAGCCTTGAATACTAAGAAATATCCAAAGCTTCTTTCAATTCAATCATTAGTTTCCAATCTTCTTTTTTCAAATCAGAACGGAAGTATTCTTTCATTACATCGATACTTTCACGACTTATCTGAAAAAAGGAAAATAAATAGAAATGGATAAGATAGCATATATTTAAACTTATATCAAAAGGTTAGTCAGTCAGTTAGTCACAGCTTAGAACTTCGTACGTACGTACATCAGTTCGAGCTGTCATACCACATTAGCACAGAGATAAATCAAAAGGGATTCTTAAGAGAAAAAAAAAGGATACATACCTTTGAAACTAATAAATCATTTAAATCAAAATGTCTTCCATATAATTTTGGTGTTTCACCATCAGTTGGATCAATACGTATACAAACTTCCATTCCAGTACGTGCTTCATCAACTGGTTTATGATTACTTTCAATTGAAAATATACGTCCTAAATGAACACATTCACGACTAGGTACACATATAGGTGTACCAACACGTACTATACCAGCTTCAACACGAACACCAATAACAATTGGAGCACGTTTATTAAATATCATTTCAGGTAATATACGTAATTTACAAGGGAATACAGCTAAATCACGATGTTTACGTTGATTTCCTGTCTTCAAATCATCCCTATAATAAATAATAATAATAGAATCAATGATAAGGTTTGATAAGTAAACATATCAACAACAAAATGTAGATTATTTTGAATAAACAATCAACCTATATTAATGACCATTAACCTAATATGAATGAAGGGATATAAATTACTTGGTCAGTTGAAGAACGGTAAGATTAAACACAGCAAACCCAAGGTCCGAAGGCGAAGTCGTACTGCCGACTATACAAAGGTGTGACAGCAGTAAGGTGTTTCCTTCAGACAACAAGCATAACAATGCTGCCTTCCCACAATAAAGGGTGGGGTTAGGAAAGGTCAACCCTAAAAATGAACACCTCACCTTATCCCATGGATATCCGTCTCCGGTGGTAAGGTACCAACAAGTACGGAGCTAACACAAAAACTACCAACAAAAAGGTTGTGTGTGACCGACCTCAAGAAGTTGCCTCTTGGGCACTGCGGTCACGCTAGATCACCATGGAAAACCTGAAAGCACTGCTGCTGAGGAGGAGTCCCACAACAGGAAGAAATGGCCGTTCAGTGCTTCCAGGTTTTTCATGGCGGTCTAGCGTCAATTGACTCATGATTTCAACTATTAAAATAAATTTGTTTATTTATGTTTAAGTTTTGTCTTTGATCAACATCGTTTGAAGGAGAACTAGTTGCCCTAAATAGGCATTTATCCAGTTACTTCCAAGTTTACAGCAATTGTCTAGTATATAAAGTAGATTGGCGCAATCTTGATTTATTTCACATGATCATTATAAGAAAAAAAGAAGGTACACTTCTAAATTCCGATGTACATAGGAATAAAGGATTAAGCAGTATATGAAGTGAACAAGTCTTAGTTCGTTACATTCTGACTGATCAGCTGCTTAAAAACAGCAACATTACAACATGAAAAATAGAGTAGTAGTATATTATTGATATGACGAACCGACGTCAGTTATAAATCAGGAAGCAGTGGGTGGCTGTTTCGTCTTGGTATGAGACTCCTCAGAGCAGCGCACCCATGATCACATTAGGGATTGAACCCAGGATCTTCAAGTTTCGTAGATAGCGTTTACCTCTAGACAGCTGAACAAAAATACCGTGGTGCACATCTAATTTCAATCAATCCACAGTATTGCAGAATTATTTTCCTTTGTCTTTGGTGAGCAACTTTCTCACACTCGATACGTTCGGACTACAATGGTTACAACTTCTTACTAAAATTCCAGAGTTGCCTGCTGAAATGAGTCAATAGTAAGGGAATGATAGTATAATAAAGTTAGTCTGCCTTTATACTTTGATTTTGAAATATTACAAATTATAAGCAATGGATTAGAGGATCTAACAATGTAACAATAAATGCAGTCTTCTGACCACTATAAGCAACAATGCAGACATGTTCCAGATGCGATTCTCCCCTCGAAATGCAAAATGTTACTTCAAGATTGGGTTGCATCGACACCTGAACTAATGATAGGGAGTGAAGTGGTTGAGCGTGCTGACCGCTTTACTTATCTTGAGAGTCTCATCAGCCCTTGTGGTCTGGTGTTTGACGAAATTTCAGCACGGATACATAGGGCTTGTCTAGCTTTTGCCAACTTGCGTCATTTATGGTGTAGGCGAGATATCCGTCTACCAACCAAAGGACGGGTTTACTGTGCAGCAGTTCGTTTCGTCCTACTTTATGGCAGTGAAACATAGCCGGCAAGAGTAGAGGATATTCGTAGGCTACTAGCATTCGATCATAGGTGTCTTCGAAGCATTTCTCGTATATCCTGAGACCACTGAGTAAGTAATACAGTTGTTAGGAAACGGATACTAGGTAAGGATGGCAAATCGATTGATGAAGTAGTGAAACTTCATCAGTTGAGATGGCTAGGACACGTGTTACGTATGCCAAACCACCGAAGGCCCGATGTGCGATGTTTTATGGTGTAGGATTAGGTTGGAAGAAAGCTAGGGGCGACCAGACCAAAACGTGGCACAAATACATGAAGTCGGTGACAAGTGGACTGAGCCATGTTGGTAGGTGTAGACTACCTGGTTGGGATCCGAGAGATAATACCAATCGATGGTAAGAGACCTTGAATGACATGTCTCAAAATCGTTTGCAATGGCGAAGGTGCATCCACTCTTTGCAGTCTGCCAAATTCTAATCTTTTGAATTCTTCATGTCCCTTTCTATTTTCTCTTCCCAAATTTATTTCACTGCATTATACTCCTTGAATAGCATCGTCAAATCTTAATCTTTCCGATTCCTACTTATAACACTATGGGATTTTAATGGACAACTGGATCTCTATGCTAATGTGATATGGCAACTTTGACTGATATACGTACATACGAAGTTCTACGTTGTGACTGACTGACTGAACAATAAACTCACAATTGACTCTGCATAGAATTCTATTCTTGTTTTCTTTTAAGTTAAGAAAATAAATGAACTACTAATATTTGCAAAAAAAATTTACAAAATAACTTACATATATGCATAGTTGAAATCATGAGTCAATTGAAGCTAGACCACCATGAAAAACCTGGAAGCACTGCTTGACGTTCGTTTAGTCCTATTATGGGACTCCTCAGTGGCAGTGCGCATCCACGATCCCGCATTCGTGAGATTCGAACCCAGAACCTACTAGCCTCGCGCCAGAGCCACTTAATCGATGGTGGTCTAGCTTCAATTGACTCATGATTTCAATTATGCAAATATTGAAATCTCCACAGAAAAACCTCCTTCTAATAACTTACATATATTTTTCCATTTGAGTTTGAAGACGATAAATAATCTCTGAAGTGAAAATTTTCACATTTAATTGTGTAGCCAATTTTTGTGCATCTTTATCAACTCTTACATCGAATGCTAATATTACTGCCCATTTTGGTTCACGTTCACACATAACTGATGCTTTCATAACATCTTTTTTATGCACTGTACCAATATTGATACCTGAATACTGGTGATAGAGGAGAGGCATAAAAGTGAAAGTTATTTCATCTCATTAAATTATAGTCTATTATTATTATCAGTACTAATTCACTTACCAGATACAGATTAGTGTACTTGGCTATCAGCTACCCTTATGTATGCGAGCCAGCGACAGTACGTCGGCTGCCCAAACGGACATAGGGTGAAACGGGCTTTAAACCCATAATTTAGTGGCTGAAAATCGAGCTCTCTAATCACTGAGCCACCCACTTGACAATCTGTATTTGTTTACCATTAAGGCACTATTGATGTATTGATTTAAACACAAAAACATTGGTATAAATGGTGACCAAAATACACATGCACCATACAATCAACATGAGATTGTGAAGAGATAGAGAGGTGAATATAATAAAGAGAACAAAAATGGATGGAAACAAGTAAATGAGAGGAAGTAAGTAATAATGGGAGAAGCAGTTCAGTTAGGATAAATACAATCAGACAGGTTTTTTTCAGTTGGAGAAGTTCCTCTCACCTACATGAGGGAAGCAGAATTACAGCAGCACAGCCAATGGATCCCATCTTGAGCCATGTCTATTAAAGTCTCAAGCCACGGTTGTACTATCCGTCAGGACACAGACCGGAGAGTCGTGAACATCTCAGAGTTCAGACCTGTACAGCTTTCTTTCATATCATAACACTATGTCACACTAACCACCTCCCTGGTTTTTCCAACCAGTCTCAGCATCGTCAAACAATGTAAAACGTGAAATTCACTGGGACGACATTCTTATTACATGTCTAAGTCACCGAAGTCAGTGTTTCAAGATGGTAATGCTATTGAGATAGGAGAACAGGCAAACAAATGATAATATAGGAACAAGCGAAAAATGTGTGAAATGGTTTATATCTTTGATGAGAGATGATTCACAAGTTAAAAAGTAGGGAACTATAGACCATAACAATTAGCCATTCATAATGAAAGTAAATCCCAGCACAAATGTATGCTAGCCCTATTTATCAGACCAACTCAATACAAATAAATGAAATTAACAAGATAAATAGCGAGTGGACTTATTTGTAGAATCACTGACAGCGAAAATAACTAAACATTAAGGACATAGTCACATAGTATAATTTAGGATGGTGACTTGACTCGATGCACTTGTTGATAAAATCAATTGTAGTCAAGTCACTATCCTAAATTATATTATACACCACTGCGACGTAACGGTGTCTACCCCAATTGAAAGACGCTGAAACGCCATGCCCTAAATCAGATTGACGCCCTGCATTCTGACATAAATGAGATACAGATGAATGTTTCTCGCAGGAAGTATGCAGTAGATGACTTAACGGATGATTTAAAAATACCTTTCATGGACTATGTTATGGATCATAGATCAGGGAAGAAACTCATTCAGCTTCTGAAAGGTCTGGAAAATCAAACAGCCGAAAGCAAATTTCCAACAGACTCTAAAAGGTATGTGCATAATTTCTCGGATGTTGAACTGGATAAAGATAAACTAGAGGTATTATCCTTAGGTCTAAAGTTTTGTGATACTAGTAATAATTGTAACCACATAGATACCAATATATAGTTAGAAAATCTATACAGCCAGACACATGATTTAGTGGCAAATTCTGATCAACAACTGGAACACTTTATTCATAAACAGTTGTTTACGCAAAATACTCAACATTCACTGGCCGGATACTATCAGTAAGTTTTATGAGAAAGGACAAACCAGCTTCCAGCTGAAGAGGAAATTAGGAAAAGACGTTGGAAGTGGATAGGACATACAATGAGGAAATCACCAAACTGCATCACGAGACAATCCCTAACATGGAATTCTGAAGGGAAGCGGAAAAGATGAAGGCCAAAGAACACATTACGCCGAGAAGTAGAAGCAGATATGAAAAGGATGAATAACAACTGGAAAGAATTGCCCAGGACAGGGTTGGATGGAAAATGCTGATGTGCAGCCTATGCTCCTCCACGAGGGGTAACAGCCATAAGTAAGTAAGTACATGTATTTACATAAAACATAGTCACATACACATGCTATCTACTAATGATATTTACTTACCGGTATATCAACAGATTTCAAATACACCAATAAAGATTCCAATGATCCAAGTGTACTAGCAACAACATATACACCTAAAGGACTGACAGAAATAGCTTTTAAGGCATGCTTTAAACCATGACATACTTCCTCCTAGGAAAGGAAAATCATTGAAGAAAAAAAACACAGAAATAATTGAATATTAAAATAAATGTCAAGAAATTAATGTTAATTTTATTGATGATTTCTCCGTTTTCGACTATGTACGATATAAAAATGTAGTTGTATTATGTACAGTCCAAATCTAAACAGAACAAACATGGTATGATTATGCCCCCAAATGCCCTGGTACGGCGAAGAGTGAGGAGAGTCCGCTCTCCCTCTCCGAATGCTCTCATATGGCCACGTGTATATAGCCTCTGAAAGGCAAGTCCTACTCACTGCCGTCTCGTGGCATTTTTGTATACGAAAATGAGAGGACGAAAAGCAAACGTCCGGCGCTTTAACAGGGTTGATGGACACGGCGAGTCCACCTAGGGGAGTTGGAAAACCCTCATTCCAAACCAATAGTGTACATGGGCTCCGGTATACTGAGGGAACGAATGACGTATGAATCAATCGCTGGTCACCGGCTACCATGGGACTACATCTCCTCACGATGCTCCACTGCCTTGTAGATCAGACATTTAGGTCGAAGGCTCCGGGTGTGGCCCCCTAAGGAAACCATCTGCTTCAGTTTGGGCACCTGTGCAGTATCACAGCCCTCACACAAATCGAATGAGATTTGTGCGGCGCATATGTATTCGGTGCCCTTTTGTACCAATATTTATGTGTATAAATAAATAAATAAATAAATAATGGTATGATTAAACATTTTTAAGAATAACTTATGTAGCGTTGCAAGTTGGAGGTAAATTTTACATGGACAACATACAAAAAGATTATTAGGAAATAGTTGACCCGTCAAAAATAAGTATCGTAGAACCTATGTAAAAACGTGCTTCGGTTCAATTTACTATACCCCATTAGCACAGAGATGAAATCGTCAAGCCAAATCCCAGAATAGTATAGTTATTAAAAGTACAAACTACTATTACTACCTCAACCATTATGGGATTTGAATCGACAACTGCATCTCTGTGCTAATGTGGTATGGCGACTCGAGCTGATGTACGTACGTCAGTCAGTCAGCGACAACGTACGACCAGACACATATATGCATCGGTCCAAGTTGCCATACCTCGTTAGCACAGCAAAATGAACACCGGATTCATAGAAGTAATTAATTTAGTGGTGGTAGTATATAAAGAAAGGTTGTATATAAGGATAAAGTACAGGAAGGAAGAAAGTTATGAAGCAATTTTAATCTCAAGGTTTAAGGGAAGATAAAGAGTGTATACACCTACGCCATTGTGAACGATTTTCAGCCATGTCACACAGAGTTTCCAATTATTGGTTACGATGGTCACGCGGATCCCAACCAGGTAGTCTGCATTTACTAACACGGCTCAGACTAGAAGTTAGTGACTTCAAGCACTGATGCCATGTTTTGGTTTGGCCGCCACTAACTCTCTTCCAACCGTCCCCAATACTAGTCAGCATAGCGCGTCGTGGCAATCGGTGTTCAGGCATACGTAACACGTGGCCCAACCATCTCAGTCGATGAAGATTCATCACCTCATCAACTGACTTACTATCATTCCGTAATACCCCGTGTCTAACCTCACTATTACTTACCCGGTTATCCCAGCAGATGCGAACAATATTTCAAAGACATCTGTGGTCAAATACTAGTAACCTACGAGTATCTTCTACTCTTAATGGCCATGTTTCACAGCCGTTCAGTAGAACAAAGCGAACTGATGCGCAGTATACTCGTCCCTTAATTGATAGACGGATATCTCGTCTTCGCCATAGGTGACGTAAGTTGGCAAAAGCCAAACGAGTTTTTTGAATCCGTGCTGAGATCTAGTCAGACACCAACCTATTCGGGCTGATCAGACTTGCAAGATAAGTGAAGTTGTCGAAGCGTTCGACTACTTCACTCCCTATCCTTAGTTCAAGTGTTGAGGCAGGCCAGTCCTGGCGTAACAATTTACATTTGGATGGGGAGAAACGCATCCCAAACATCCTGGCATTATTACTGAGCTCCAACAGAAGACTGCATTTTGTTAGCATTTTCACCAAACAGGAATATATCATCTGCGTATTCTAAGTCGATAAGTGAACCTCCTGGTAGAAGATCAATCCCTGAAAATTCAGTCGACGAGAGTGTTTTTTCCAGTGACAGGTCTATAATGAAGTTAAACAAAAATGGGGATAGTGGACAGCCCTGACGGACACCACTTGAGGTTGTAAAATCATATGACAGTTCGCCATAAGCTCTCACTCGACTGGTAGTGTTCGAGTAAAGAGTCTTCACAAGGTTTATGTACTTCTCAGGTACACCTTTCAATGACAGACACTGCCACAGAACCTCTCGGTCTACAGAGTCAAATGCTGCTTTCAAGGCAAGAAAAACTATCATTGTCGGACGCCGATAAGCATGTCTGTGCTCTAAAACTTGACGAATGTACGTACGTACGAAGTCCTACGTTGTGACTGACTAACTGAAAAGTATCAAGTGATTAGAAAGATCAGGGGTAGAAGAATGGGTGCACCTGAATCACTGCAAACGACTTTGAGCCATGTCACTCAAAGTCGCTAATCACCAATTACGATAATCATACGGACCCAAACCACCAGATAGTCTACACCTATAAACATGGCTCAGTCCAACTGTCAGTGAATTTGTGGACTGACGCTATGTTTTGGCTTGGCTGACCCTAGTTTTCTTCTACCGTACTCTTACACCGGGCAACATTGCCCGTCAAGGTAGGTGGTGGTGGTCCCAACCACCTCAGGTGATAATGATTTACTACCTCGCCAGTTAATTTGTCACCCTTATCTAGTACCCTATTCCTAACCTATGCATTACTTACTCGGTGGTAGCAAAATGCACGACTAATTCTCCGAAAACACTTATGATCGAATACTAGTAATATACGAATATCCTCTATACTGAATGGCCGTATTTCATACCCATAAAGTAGGACGGGGAGAACCGACGAGCAGCAATGCTACAACAAACTACAAGCCACACATTGTATGGATTACGTGGACAATAACACGCGACTATATGAACCAAAGTAGATGGACTTAGTAGGAAGTTGATCCGGACTAAATAAACCTGTTGTATTTGTATCACCGAATGGATCATTCAAAAAAGACCATTCATAACAAGATGACCTCACTAAGCTGTGCTTTTCAGTATACAAGGTCGTAACCAAAAGGAGAGGAACAACGGTTATCTGTACTCAACGTTCAATATTCTAGGAAATTTATCATACTAAGTTAAGGGGAAAGACATGCTACTTTTACAGTGAAACGTGGATTATGAAACTTTATTACAGTGAAATGAATTTGTAATCTCAAACACAATAAAAGCATACCAATGTTTACGACTTACTAACCTTGTAATACAATTCTTCTGACAACCCATTTGCCACAAACAGTGGAAGACCTGCTAGTGCTTTCTCTAAATCTTTAGCGATAAGCTTCACACCTTGAGCTCCCATAACTTCCTTCAGGTGATTGTAACTTCCTTTGACGCGAAGTTCGGACATAGGAGCAGGTTGAAGAATACCACGGATTTGAGTACATATAGGACCCTCCTGGCCAGCCAAGACGATAGTATCTCCTTCATGAAGTCGACCATTAACAACAATTACATCGATCGTAGTCCCTAAGCCGTGAATTTCTTTGACCTGTAACAGTAGTAATTACCAAAAGTGAAATCAAAATGTACATAAATTAAGCAGTGAGAGAGGAAATCAAACAGAAAACGATGTAAAATTTCCTGATAAAGCTGAATAGCACGAAAGTCTGAGGATTGTCAATCTAAACTGAATAATCACTGAACATAAAAGATGATTAAGATATGAACGATAATATAAAGCGTACTCGATGAAATAAATTAAAAGCTTGGGTATGAGACACACTAAACGTGAGAGCTAATGATACTAACCAGTGGCCCAAACCAAAGGTGGAGTAGGGTCTGAACTTGGGACTAAGCCCGAGGTTTCCATACAACAGGTTGATGACAACTTAACGACCTTTAATGATTAATACGGCTATAGTTTATAGAAAAATAAATCTGGGAGACGACTATGTTAACCAACTGTAGTTAAGATATTTCGTTCACAGCTATAGTATAAGCAACTGTTACGTCAGTTCTAATCTTTACCCTCTGAATAATAACTTAAATTTATACTTCTATTCGAACGAGTTATTTTGTCATTTTATTACGATAATCATATAAATCACATCTCAATATGTTTTGTTACCGAATAGAAGAAAACTGTAAGCTTAACGTAGGCTAATTTAGTTGCAAAATGTCACATAATTAATATAGTGACTCTTTTTCACACAATGCCTGATGGCTTTATGATGTATAAAAGTCTTCACTTTAAAACCTACACAAGGTTGTTGAAAAAGTCCAGAAGTCAGTATATGGGACTCGTGAGTTATTATACTCATTGTCCGTATTCACACTGTATGGATCATGTGCACCATGACACGCAACTATTTAAACCAAAGTAGACAGACTGCGCCTGTAGCTCTTCTGGAGTTACTGGCGGTCCCAAGCCTACACAAAAGAGGAGGGTTGGGCATGCGGTCTCCAACCTCATCCCGTAGAACAAAATCAACTTAAAAAACGCTAACCAGATTAAATAAACCACTTAAACTCTGCCTTCCGAGTTGAAACAAGAATTATGACGCCTCATGATGAAAGCTGAGTTATTCCGGAAGTCAAGAGGCTGATGCCCTTTCCGACAACCAGAGCGACCATTAATTTAGGTACATGGAATATTCGTACAATGTAGGAGACCGGGAGAGTCATCGAAGTTGTTGCAGAAATGAAAAGATACATCTTGGCATTACTCGGATTCCGTGGAACCTATTGAACCCAAGCTGGACAGCAAAGCCTAGATATGGGAGAGATGCTGCTGTACTCCGGTCACGAAGAGGAAAATGCTCCACACACTCAGGGAGTTGCTCCGATGTTGTCCAAAAAGCACTTAATGCACTTTACAGGATGGGAATCTCACGGATCTAGGATCATCAGAGCATCCTTCAAAACAAAGGAGGGAATCACGATGAATTTTATCTAGTGTTATGCGCCCATCAATGATAGCAACGACGACAGTAAAGATCAATTTTATCGGAGGCTTCAATCAATCATAGCGAATTCCTGATGAGAGAGCTAAATGCCGAAGTCGGAATGCACAACACTGAGTATGGAGATATCACGTGATGACATGGACTGAGTGGAAGAAAGAAACGAAAATGGTGAGAGATTTGCAAACCTATATGTACTCAACAAATCGATTGTAGGTGGCACAATATTCCCACACAAACTCATACACAAAGTTAATTGGGTCTCACCGGACTACACTATACAGTACCAGATCGGTCACATTTGCATCAACAAAACCTCAGGAAGATTCATGAACGACGTGAGAACCAGAAAAGGAGCTGACATAGCTTCAGATCACCACCTGGTGGTTGCCAAGATTAATCTGAAGCTAAAGAAACACTGGACAATCGAATAAACATCAATACAAAGTTTCAATACAGCCTTTTTTAGAGATACTGACAAGCTCAACGAATTCAAGGTAACTCTCAGCAACAGGTTCCAAGCCTTACAGGATCTACTCAAAGAAGAATAAACTATGATGGAGAACAACTGGAAAGGGATCAAAGAAGCATTAACTTTAACATGTCAGGAGGTTCTGGGTCGCAACAAGCATCATCATAAGGAATGGATCTCTATTGAAACCCTTGACAAAACTCAAGAAAGGAAGAACAAAAAGACAGCAATTAACAACAGCCGAACAATAACGGAGAAGGTCAAGGCACAAGCTGAATGCACTGAAGCAATATATATATATATATATAGTCACTAAATACATCACCAATATCAAAGTACGTCCCTAGATTGTTGTTTTGTATTAAATCACGAATAATCCTGCTCCTCGGTTAGTCCTATATCAAAAAAAGGATTGCACGAATGTCATATGGAATAACATTAGTCAAAGCTATGATTTTAAAACTAACCTCCATAACTGAAGCACTCAACTCTTCTGTGTACGCCAACCTCTTACTATACTTATTTTGCAAGCGTAGACACAAACATGAAAGAAGATCACCCATTCCGTCACCAGTATGAGCAGATGTCGGTACCATGCTAATATATTCTTCAGGTTTAGTATTTTTGTAAAACAACTCAACATTTAGTTCCATCATCGCAAAATCTTGAATCACCTAGAAAAGAAACAAGGTGTAATGATTTTATACGCTAAAAATTACAAAATATTATGGCCTAGAACATAGAAAAATGAATTGTTGTTCCAGCCAGTCAACTAATCATCGTATAAATAGGAACTCGCACGAATGTTTATCAGTCTCAGTTGCCACACCTTGCGTCATTACAGAGAAAGAAACAAGGACAAACCCATAACTTGCACAATTGTGTCCACCCGAGGCATTCCAAGACTACAATAGGAACAATCAAGTTAAATAAAATGTAGAAATCAATTCTTGTGAAATCGATGTGTTAAGCAGACACGGGATAATGTAAGTGAAATTCTAAAGTGTAGATACACAACCTATGTTGAAGTCATTTCAGAAGACCTAGTTTAACTTTGTTGATTGACTTTAGCTCTACGTTTGAAACCGTGTTCAAAGGTAAAACTATCCAATCAGTGGTCCCACCATGTTTCAAGAATACCCTAAAGACGTCTATAATAAAATTCCTGGAAGGTAAAAGCAATTAACAGATTTACGTTGAACTAATAACAACCATGCATATATCTCATTATATATAGTATTTGGTAAGTCAATTTTCTGGTACTGATGTTACAATTTCTTAAGGTGCAAATGTTGACTCGAACTCCCACGATGATGAAGACATTAATGAACCTAATAACTGTATTCTAAATAGACTAGCCCTACAGTGCTATTTATATTTCATGGACGGAAGGTAAATAGTTCACTTTTTATTGCTTGACAAACCACGTCTCAGTTACACTATTAGATACATCAAATTCTGAAAAGAAAATTCATGAAGTTGGGAGAGAAGCGATAACCAATATCATCAGTACACGAAATTTATCCTTATTGCTGTAACGGAACATAACACTGGTATAGATACCTTTTATAACTGCAGACAACTAAACAAGGACTGATAAGGCCCGATCCAAGAAAGTACGGTTGTAGAGGAAGGTTTTATTATGAACTAACAATAGGTTTAATACAAACCAACCACTGATTAAAAATTATATCCAAAAATAAAATAAGTTACGTATCATTTTGTTAACTGGTCAACAATCAAATCCGAAATCAGTGGGCAGTAATGGATGTAAATTGAACAACTCTATGGATAATTACAATTTACGACCACAATGGCTTAAACTGTTTTAAATATTCGCTCATTATTAACACAGCTCAGATAGAAACTTGACTGGGTAGGAATTAGATCAAATGAATTCAGTATTGCGATGCAGATTTCTGAGTCTTAAGAAATATAACGGAAAGAAAGTAAGCCTAATGTACACTTCAGATGAGATCACTTATACCAACAATCTCAACAAATGAGAGAGGAATAGGTGGGTTTTTCCAGCTTTTTAACGGTACTTAGGCATCAAACAGTCAACAATAATAATACAAATGCAAAGACCAAGAACATATGAACTTATACGGTTTTAAATTACACTCATGTATGAAGATTAGTATATCTGTCTAAACCAAAGTAGATAGAACAGGGTTAGAGAGTGAAACCTACTAGATTAGCCATTTAAAGAATCAGTCACTACTTTATGTAATGGTTTGTAGAGAACAGTAAAGTATCAGCTCTGCTACGTATAATTCTGACGTCATATGGATAACTACTATGGAGGTATGCATTGTACGTTGTAGAAATTCTGGGTTGAATCTTTTAAGAAACCGTCAAACAAAAAGTGCAAACATTACCTACTTCAACCTTTTACAATCACTGATTATTCTGCTAAGTGTTTCCAAAAGTATCGCCTGCCTTATGAGAAATAGAAACACTATGAGTGTAATCTATGCTTGCATTGTGAGACAAGTAAATAATTAAGTCCATTGAAATAATTTGAACATGAAAACTAAATAACCCCTTATAAACACACCAAACTATAAAAAAACCAACAATAAATTGCAAAACACATGGAAGTCACAGATCATATCTCGAGGCAATGTAACATGCAGATTGGGAAGTAAGGCATCTTCCTGGGACTGTTGCTAATAGACAGCATTATGAATACTTCAACTCTCAAATAGGGTTAGGAACTAGCGTCCTCTTAACGAACTGATAAAATTTACGACATGGATGTTTTATAGTCCTATGTAACACAGCTGACGTTAATTGGCGATGAGAAACCCAACTCCATATTCTTATCCTAAATCTTACTTCTAGAATTTTCAGTCACTCATCCATATTTGCGTTTCCTGACTCCTAAATATATCGAAAATTCGTTAAGCCCAGCCTTACGGAAAATTTAAAGAACACGTAGCATTCTAAATAACATTATCGATAGTAAAATATATGTCCATGTGCACGTGGCTAGAACATAACAAACGTCATACAATTACATGACAACTATGTGCACAGACCACCTCAGTGACTATTGATAGTTGCAGGTCAAAATATCAGCTGGTTAGAAACAAAAATTTTCGACACACCAAACTACTTAAACTTTAGTAGTGGCTGCGGTCTAATCAAACAAAACTTACTTTCTTTAGATGGTCTGACAAGTCGTTTTGAGTGATTGAATTTTGCGATTTTACTACTTCTTCGATACACGTTTCCGGATCAGGTTTCCATCCATACAACCGATCGACTTTATTGAGAGCTACTATGAAAGGAGTTTTGCGTGATCGCAAAATTTTGATTGATTCCTTTGTCTGTTCTTCTAAACCGTGCATTAAATCTACCACCAAGATAGCTATATCACAGAGAGATGACCCACGAACACGGAGATTGCTAAACTGAAGTGTTAATGGTTATCCATGTGTATTTACCTGAACGACTCGTGACCAGGAGTATCAATAATAAGCAAACCAGGTATACGTAATTCCGAAGGATTCAAGTATGGACATATACGTGTAGCTGTTAGTATGTTTTCAAGTGGTACATTAGTTGCACCGATCTGTTGCGTAATTCCACCAGCCTCCCTGTCCTGAACGTGTGTATTCCTTAGTTTGTCCAAGATTTTAGTCTTTCCTGTATCGACATGACCCAAAACACAAATGACTCCTGCTCGCAGATTGAGCTCACTACGCTCAGCTTCGTACGCTTCATGACGTTCCTAAATTCACAGATAAAATGAAATCCAACAACTACCTTTATGCGAAGCTTAGCCAACTCTATCAACCTAGCTTTTTCTTCTTCCGGTAGGTCCTCGTCACTAGCGATGGACGTCTCCACTTGCTCAGAATGACTAGGTTGCTGATCAATGATTAGATAATCTTCTGTTTCTTCAGAACTTTCTTCACTTGGAGATTTTAAATGCGTATCAGCCAACAACTCCCAGCAACTTAGCTCCTCCGTTGACGTTTCTTGGTCTTCAGTCTTGATTACTTCCTGTGTCTCCACAGTTTCGTCTTCCTTTTTGACTTGCACAGTTTTCTTTTTAAGTTTACCATACTGTGGTCTTTTCTTAACTTCAGATTTATCATCTGGAATCTCGATACCGCGTGCCTGTAATAGCTCCATAACTTTGCGTCGGTCCTCTTTCTGCTTATCGGTCAGCAACTTCCCCTCCTCTTTAAGACGTTGTTTGCGCTCCTTCTCTTTTAGCTTTTTCTTCAGTTTAAGCTCTTTTTCCCTAGCAAGAATAGCTTCTTCCTTCAATCGCTCGTTTTCAAGACGTTGTAACTCCTCTTCTTGCTCTCGCTTAAGTCTTTCCTCTTCCTCTCGTTGCCTGGCTAGGTCTTCTTTTATTTTTGCGACATGTTTTGATATCTTTTTCTCTTTAATATCATCTTTAGTCTGCTTTACGTCTTTCCCAGTTTTCTTCTTATCTTTCTTTTTGCCTTGACTAGATACCGCATCTTTACTGACATCCTCAGTAATCTTGTCTACAGCAAATTCCTCAGCTTTTCCAGACATTGTCACATGCACGTAAACAAAAGGAATTCGGACAGACAAAGCTAACTGATATTCTCAAGAGCCACGGTACGACACATTCGAACTAGCCAACACATTACTAGGTCGACTGTTCAGTAGCCAATTTTCGTACACAAGTAATTACAAACTGCGTTTTAAAAAAGCCTTCTCGACTTTGAAATCGATTTGCAACCTCCTATAAAGTCTATCACTCACCCTGTCAATGACTTTCCGTCTGCAGCTTAACATCCTCATCATGATGAAGAATCCAGAGTCTTAGCTAAACAGTCTGTCATCCTCAACCTTTCCTATATTATATGGCAAATCATTTATTGTTAATTGGTTTATCAGGTCTCTCCAGCGTCAGAAATAACTAATACGGATAATTCAGTGGGGCGCCCATGTTGGTAACGAGGCTGTGACTCCCCTCTGGCTAATCATTTTTTACTAAAACATGGTGTCAAAAATATCATGTACATTCGGGGCTTGATAACATTTTTGTATGCAGCACTTTTTCTATCGAAAGACCCTAAACCTAACCAAACCAGAAGTCAGGAATGAAGGAGCTTGACATTTGCCTTAACTGTGGAGAACGCACTTGTTGTCGTCCAAGTTGATGATTTTCGCATTTCCATGAAGTTGGTGTACTAAGGGTCTCATGAGAGGTGACCAAATCGGTACAAACCGTGGACGAAAACCCATCGATCTGTTGAACATGGGCAATCGCTTGACTGTGGTCACTTTCGAATATACAGGTTGTCCTGTAATTTGGATGTTGTGTGTAAAAATTTTGGTTATACACGGTGATTCCGATCGTGTTTTGCAAAGTTAACTGTACCTGTCCAGTTGTTCTTCAAAGTTCAGGTTCATAATATTATTTGTCATTATGGGACATAACGTGTAGTCCGAAAATTAAGTCCTGCAAACAGATAATTTAGTAACGTCATCTATTGACCTCCTGTTACTTGAGTCGATTAGTAGGTTTTGGTATTGTAACAGGACCATACCAACGATTAGCACTGGAACGTCTTCATTAGCAAAAATCAGGTGGATGAATTAGTGGGAACCCATTTTAAGATAACGTACGTCTTACAGTATGTGGCGATCGATTTTCAGTTGCTTCCTTTAAATTGACGACTGAGTCTGGTAGATAATGGCTTGCATTTGCAGGAAGGACGCTAACTCGCACATCAGTATTAATGAGATAACGAAAGTTCGTCACCACAGGAGTGATGTATAGGAGACAGATTCCCCGACTGCAGTTGCCATGAACGCGTGCGTAGGTGGTTGCCCGATAGGTTTGCTATGACAGAAAGTTTGGGGCTCGACAAACTTCATGGTTTCCTACAACTTCTGGAAGATTTATCTCACATGTTATTGTATCACCATCAATCAGGGTTATCTGCTTCTCGTGGACTAAATATAGAACGTATTGTTGGCGGGCTTCTCTTGGGAGAAAGAGAATGCCTGGGAGCCTAGTGAATGTAAGGGAGATGAGCAAGAATAATAGAGATCTGCAACTTCTTTTATGCTGCACAATGATTTATCCGACATATTAGGAATAAAACATATAAAAGTGATAAAAATTTGAGAAAATAATGTTGCTATGTGTAATCATATAAATGCAATCTAATATTACAGTTAGGTGGTGCACCACATCACACTGGGCTTACCACAAAAGATGTCATGGATATCCAGTGCTTGATGAGGTTATTGTTTTAAGACCTTCGTAGTTGAAGATCTTCAGGCTAGTCAAACCAGAAGTCAGAAATGAATGTGTCGGAAGATATATTTGTAAGATGTTCCACATGCCAGGAAGGCTGTCAATTTTGGCTGGCTAGTTGTTGTGAGAGATGCCCTACAGTTTTATTCCAGTTAGATAATTTGTTGACAGTTCACTGTGACGTTAAACTCCGATGTTATCTAGGCCAACTCACGCTTTTCTAGTGTGACTGGCCGACCACATGAATAGATCACCTACGTAAGTGATCACGAACAATAATGATATATTCTCAAATTACAATGTGTTGCACGAGGTATGTCAGTTTACGGAAACGACTAAATGGTTAAAAATGCTGCGGGATTCACCGTTTTTAGTAACTCAGTATGGTTGACATGTGATAAGAAACATTGATCATAAAGACAAGCGGACAAATTTCTGGACAGTTGAATATGAATATTGGTTGACTCCAATGCTCAGTATGTGAGTTGACGCGCCCTATAAAGGTTACGTCGCGACGAGCAACTCGCTGAGGAGGATGAATTCAAGTTAACCCATAGATGTTTAGAACCATAAATAATGCAGTAAAGGAATAATTATTCAGTTGAAAACGTTAACTTTAAAGTATCGTTTTGTGCTTATTCATGGTGTTCCAAGATGAATAGTCAAGGTATAATAAAAGCACAGGACTAAGTCATATGTTTCGTGTATTTGTTCTTGGTGATAATGTATTAGTTACGGTAATACACAGCTGTTTTTGATTTGATGTTTTATAATTGTTATTTTTTATTTCATTGCACGAGGCTGAGTCGCTCGTATATTGACTGCGTATGTCTGAAATACATTATTCATACAGTGAGAGCTGAGATTTTGTTCTAAACTCAAACGTGCAGGGCAAGGTAACAAGAGATTGCAAGGACTCAAAGTTGTCTATAGTCTGCTCGTGTTGGATGACACATCATTGGTCTGACACGGGGCCAAGGTCGTATAAGCCGACGTTCTGACTGACGATTTTTCACGTGGTAATTGAAGGGCCATATGGTATAACATTATACCACGAGGGTCCTTTGAAAGGGGAGTGAGAAATTTAGTCACGTGAAACATAACAGACAGTATTGATGATTGGTGAAACTTTCAGTTTGGGGCTGATAAAACGTTGAGTGGTTAGTGTTAGACCTCCTAGTGAAAGCCTATTCTTCAACCATTTCACTTCTAAATTCGTTTACAGAAGGAGCTATAATCATTGGTGGCATAAGGAATTTTACTCGCTGGTGCTTGTGAGAACTTCAATGGCCATCTGCCGTCCCGTTATAGTATTTTGCATTCACATTACAAAGATCTAGTTCGTGAAGTTAAGTGTCTGCCTATTTGCCTCTACAAGCATCGTAGATTTACTTCGACACAGCAGCCCGTAGAGAAGAAACTATATAATGGACTTAGTTCTTGATGTGTTGGGCAACGTGCCAACTCCTACAGGGAGTGAAGATCTGCTTGAGAAGTTAACTCATAACTACCACTTAATCCATGCTCTTAGTAGACCTCCGGCCGACAAACTTACCCGTCCATACCCCAAAGCATCGGAAGACGTATGAACATATGTTAGGAGTTCGATCGGTGGTAACGGTGATGCTACATCGTCAGAATCCATTGTTCTCACTGACCATAGCTATGCTTCTTGATGACAAGAAGTGTTGATATTGTAATCTTCCAGTTTCGTATATACCCATTTATATGAACATCAACTTGTTCTTACATCGTTACAGCATGGAAAGTCTAACGTGCAGCCTTACGTGACTGTAAAACATAGTGATGTTGGTTCGCGTTGATGTGTAACGATTACCAGGCAAGCACCCGTTTGCCAAATACTGCAACCTTGGACATGGTGTGTTAAACTAATGGGTCAAACTCCGTACTATTGTACCGTCGTTAAGGTGATTTTGCTCAGATTTTGTCTCGAAATGTACGAATAAAATTGGGTGTTTGAAATCAGCTGACTACATTATTGGAAAAAGCATAGACTCATAGTTTTTATCTATGTTCTTTCTTCAAAAATTAGAGGCTCTATCCATTCTTTCCTCTTAGTAGTTTGCCGTAAATAAACTAATAGCCCTTTCTTCATGTAATCAATTAAGAATCATTTTTATTCGCTTGAAAAACTAGCAGGACTCAGATATCTATTACGTACACCTATAATGACTAAAAAACAATATATACTAGCTGTTTATTGATCGAACCACAAATAGGAGTGAGTGACCGCGAGTAATTCATGAGATACTTGTGTTACAGGTATGTGCGTTTTCGGAATTAATTCCGTCGCTGACCATCCCATCCACTAGAATACATGTAAAATTTGTATAATTGTATTGACAATTATTTATAACAATAAATAATAATATGAATACAAACTTCGCTTTTAATGTGCAGACTCTGGGTATCTAATCTTGTTTTGTGCGAATATTACGCTTGATTTTAGTTAATTAACAAATCCGTCAAACTCCATGAAATTGCCAAGAGAGGTAAAATAATGATTAGTAAACTAGTACAATGAACACATACATGAAACTGAACAAATGTGTGTAAATGTACACAATTCTTGTTTTCGTGACTGTTTTGTACTTTGTAACTTCTTGCACTATGTAGAAGCCGGAGATCATAAATCTAATATCTGGTTGTGGAATCTCGCAAATTCCAGTAATAAAGCAGCTACCTTGACTTCATTTAGAATATTTCAAACAACTGCAACGTGGCTCTGATAATCAATCACATTTTATTTCTCCCAAATTTCAATGCACTTGATTATTTTAATTGGGAAATCATACATTTGAATGAGTTATCCGAATCACTTTATGTCGGTACTTATTTCTGCTATTGGCTTCCTCTGAAAGAAATCTGAAACTGTACAAGAAGTAATAGGGATGTTTGCTTAGTCTCTGGAAAAAGCTCCACAAAAATATATCTTCCGCACATGAGTCTGATTTATTTCTTACAATATTGTTATTTGGTGGCTTATATGTCTAGCCGTAGAACGTAATATAAACAACTCGGTGTGTATTGTAATCACCTAAAGCAGATATATAATGACTGCAACCCTAAGGACAGCTAATATCTTCACTATTGACCTATTTCTAACATAAAGGTAGAACAAAGTCGTAAAAATCAGCGAAATTTTCAATGAAGAAGAGAAAAAGCATAAAACTTTATAGTGGTATCGCTACCTGTCTAGCAGATTTTGTAGCCTTGACAACAGCGCAGTTTTAATGATGATACATGTTTTAACCACGTCATTTCACACAAAAATATATCATTAGTCTGCTCCTAGTGTATAGATGGGTGAAAATCAATACCATCCTGAGATGCGATTGTGGAAAAATTACTTTAATAATAATAATAATAATTTATCCTCAAATAACAGATTGTTACATGAGGCATGCCGGTTTACAGGCAAGATCAAATTGTTAAAGAAGTTACAATTTTCACTGTTGAAAATTACTCAGCTGGGTTGATATTTCATAAGATATGAATGTAAATGGATTTCATAAGAAACATGTCAATATCAATATCACATTTGGCGCACTTTATGGAGGTAGCGTTGCAACATACAACTGATGGTCGAGAATAGATACATGCGAGGTTGGGGGCTTTTAGAAGTTTCGAACTTATGTCCCTCCAGAATATCGGAAGCATTAATAACGGTGTAGGACGAAGTCACCCGTGCCATATCTGTTTTCGGTGGAGTATCTGCAGGAGGCTGAAAAAGGTGTAAGAAAAAGGAAGGACGAAAAGCACGAAAAGCACACACTATATTCATGGAGGAATAGTTAAGGTATAACCATTTGGTCTATTTGTCTGTTAGTGAAGTATTTATTAGGCAAGAACATACCAATGTGTTAAAGAAAAATAAGTGTGGGCAAGGTATGAATGTATAAGGAACTGTATAAATGAAGGTAGTTTAGAAGGAAGTATGTAAATGTGTAATTATAAAATAAAGTGCTGAAAACAGTATTCCGATACAAATGACTGTCTCTCTTTACTTTAGAAGCTGTTTGAACTCTCTTTTTTTTGTTTTCAGATTTTATAGGGTATAGAGTGGGCTTCGTTTTTAGCCAATTGTCTAGTTTGCTTGTATTAGGATTACTTGGTAGGAAGTGGAACCAATTCAGCTTTTTTTAACACGATTCAAAGTGGTATTTTGCATGAATAATTTCGCATCAATACCGTTGGTTCGTGACATCCCACTAGACATAAGGAGCCGTAATTAATATGTTAGTAGCACCTAAATTATGAATTTCTAAGGATTTCGCAATACCTTGTACCGCGAAATTAGAAACCGTTTTGCACTTAGTTTTGAAATCAGAAAATAGGCTTTCAAATTTTTTAAATAATCAATTCGGACTTTTGGCTGTGCAAAAAGTAGCACAAGAAAATGTTGAGCTACCACGGTGTTATTTCCATCAATGCCGACCTAGGGCATTTATCGTTCTCGTGTTCACCACTGTTGACCTCCTCTTCACGTTCAAAGTTCTCGTGGTTAGGAACCGATGCCACTACAATCTCACAGGTGGAAATCTCATATCATGAACATTTCGTTCTATGAGTTAGAAAAAACTTACTTTCTCCATGAAAATTCGTCTGTCGATTGTCTCTTCATGGCTTGATATCGACCATTGATAGTACGAACACCAACTCATACTAAATTAGCAGTGCGATCAACGCAAATTCAAATCTTCAATTTATGTGAAGACGTCTTGGCTCATTCACCTCAGAATTTTTCTGAATGACGATCAAAATGTACCAACGACCTCACACTACCATCCGCAGAGTTTTTGTGCCACCTCTTCAAAGGGAACATAAATACCTTAGACAAAGTAGAAAGACAGGCAGCTAAGTGGGTGAAGGGGTTGAATAATAAATCTCATGAAGACAGACTTTAATACTTGAGGTTATTCTTGCTGGGCCATAGGCAAATAAGAGGTGACATAATAATGACACACAACATGCCAGGCACACCAAGTCACTCCAAGACGAACAAAACCAGAACATCAATATCACACACCTTGAGGTGATCCCCAGGAAACTGTACATCAGTTGGTGAAAAACCACATACTCTCTCGTATATTCGAACTAGAATTTGCCCTCATTTAGATTGCTCTTCCGGTTGAAGTGACTGTAGCCTCCTAATGGCTAGATTTCAAAGGATACTCGACATACAAACACTCATCTAAAGACTATAATCTACCATACGGATTAGCTGTATCTGATGGATGTCTTGGAACTTAACTGCTATTGTCATTGACAAATATATTTTTTGTTACATCCCGACGAGTATAAAATTTTTATTTCTGACGTTCCATGACCTTATGTAGGTCACTTATTCAGAGTAAATAAATAAATGAAACTGGTTGACACAAGTTCAAACAGAATTTTTCTTTCTACTGTACTACTTAAACTCTGTCAATTTATTTCGTTTATTTATCTCTATAAGTGACTTACGTTAAACCATGAAACGTCAGAAGAGCAATTTTTATACTCATGGGAATATAAAAAAGTATAGTTTTTATTAACTTTCTACCCAATGCTCAATTCACTCGAAAGTATCAAGTCCAACATTAACATCGATACCTATGTGCTAATATCACTGTCACATATGAGTACCTACTTCCTATCATGTTTGCTGTCATCCGGTTTCTCCCTTTATCCTTACATTTCGGCCCTTTCATGATATCCACATTACCATTATTTAACTTCTTTGTTAATAAGTTCTTGAAGCAACCGTTCTTTCTTGGCATTCGAAACTTCTTTATTTTGCAACAAGCCAACCTCCTGTCTAGTACGAGGGTTGACGGTATCCAGGATCTTTACTTCTTTGAGACAAACTCATCTAAATTACAGGATGTAGTGACTTTCAAATGACTGCAATACTGGCTATAATTAGTTCAATTGACTGCTTATACTCCCGTGTATTGAACATCACTACCTGGAATCGTACCAAAAGAAGTGAGCGCAACGAAATCAATCGGTTAATACAGGCCTGTTCCACAGATGTTGTATATGAAATATTTATGCTAATTGAGATTTCAAAAACTTCAACAGTGCTACAAATTAAGAGAGATGGGATGCAGAACGAAATACAGTGCAATGATTGCGGAAGCAAGCCGTTGGTGCATCCATCTCAATGATTACAAAGATGGAGTGAACATGTTATGTAACTGCGCTCTACAAAACGTCTGTGTGTAGACTTGAACAGAGCCTCACACCCAATATAGAAGGTTTAAAACGTAGAATAAATAGACTATAGCTAAATCCCGCACGGCTTACGAACGACAGTTGGCATACGATAGCCGTACCTGTCCGAATCGACTGTTTTCGTATGTTAAAAGGTGGACGAAACGTAGTGATGGTATCCCCCCTTTACTGTTAAGCGAAAATTCAGTTTTACTGAATGAATCTGATCTAGCGAAGGCGGAAACATTTGCTTACTATTTCAGTGAAGTCTACTCTACATGTAGTGTTATAACTACTTGTCCCGTCGACAACGAGATACCAGCCATAGGACCTTTACACGTGACAGAGGATATTGTTCTTCCTTTGATAACTAACCTGAAACCTTGTAAGATACCGGGCCCCGATGGGTTACACCCACGTTTGCTGTCGTCGCTTGCGGACATTATCTCAAGACCGCTCACGATGCTCTTCAACATGTCCCTTTCACAGGCTCAACTACCTAGAGACTGGAAAGACCCCATAGTTAGTCCTATATTTAAGGATGGTCAGAGACGGATCGTATCTAACTACCGGCCTGTTAGCCTGACCAGCATAGTAGTTAAGTTACTTGAAAAATTAATTCGGGCTAAGCTACTGAGTCACATAGATTCGTACAAATCTGTTAACTGTCGAACAACATGGGTCTCGTAACAAGCATTCATGCTTGACCAACTTACTCATTGCGAGAGAGGATTGGACAGCTGCCCAATCACAGTCTGTCGACGTGATATTTACAGATTTTAGCAAAGCGTTTGATAAGGTTTCACACTTAGGTCTTATGCAAAAGCTCTCGAGCTTTGGTATAACAGGTGCTATACAGGAATGGATAGGAAGCTTCTTATGTGACCGCAGACAGTGAGTGAAGGTCAGTGGAACGCTATCCGAATGGAAACCGGTCAAAAGTGGTGTACCTTAAGGCATCATCTTAGGCCCTTTACTTTTCCTTCTGTATATTAATGAACTACCTTTATTACTTAAGTCGTCGACGTTATTGTTTGCGGATGATGTTAAAATCTGGAGAACAATAAAAAATGAAACTGATCGTTGTTATCTGCAAGCAGATTAAAATGAGTTAATTAGGTGGGCTCATGATTGGGGCCTGGAAGTCAATTTCAGGAAGAGCGTGTTCATGCACATTGGGCACGATATTAGTTACCACTATACCAATAATGGTACATCTCTTCCACGTTCAAGAGCACAAGGACTTGACAGTAACTATAAGTCACGACTTGAAAGACACTACATACTGCAATGCGGTTTCTTCCAAAGGCTATCGTGCTTTATGGTCGCTTCGCAGAACATTTAAATGCTTCGACGAGGATATGTTTCGAATTTTATATCCCACCTATGTAAGGCTACTCTTAGAATACTGTATCCAAGCAGCTAACCCATGTCTGATAAAGGATACTAAATCGCTTGAGCGCGTCCAGCGGGTGGGGACAAAATTAGTAAAGGGTCTTTCTAAACTCCCTTACGATGAGCGCTTAAAACGTCTAAACCATTTCCCCTTATCTTATCGTAGGACACGAGGTGACCTAATACTAGCATTTCGTATCTTTAATTATGATCTGGGTGTTAACATGTCTTATTTTTTGCTCCCTCCAGCACTAATAATTTCCGAAGGTTCAAAAACCGCGATCTAATAAAATAAAGGTGAGGTCTCGTTTTTCTCATCGAGTGGTCAATGACTGGAACGCTTTACCAGAACAAGTGGTATCAGCACCATCAATGAACACTTTCAAGTAGAAGCAGGACCTTCACTGGAAGGTAATCTGTCAGGATTAACACAGGTTCATCAACCTACTATCCTTATTACTGAAGACTGAAGTTGTACTTATGTAAGATTCAGTGGTTTCAGGTATGAAGGTGTTTATTATTGTGTGTTGAATAAAATCGAATACTTAGTGGTAAATTGTTTAACCGAGTTTTTGAACAAAACGCTACACCGTCAGGGTTGTATGGTTTTGTATCCTTTCAGCATGTACGTTGTTTTCTGTCAGGTTTTGAAAATATAAGGGACCAAACAAATGAATGGCTGAAGATACACATATGGAACACTTAGGTTTAATCCCATGGGGTTCATCGCAATTACACTTAATGTAAATAAAGAGGAGTTTTCAGGATTTTTAGACAAAATCGTGTAGTAAAATTTCATGTGCAATTCTGTCAAAATTCAATAATTTCTCCACGCTTTTTCTTTTTGTGGATAAATTACAAAATTTCTGCCTAAATTAATATTTCGATTTTTGTATCTTTAAAGTAAGTTTCTTCATAGCGAGCAGCTTTCCTAGCACATTTGTGATTTCAATGAAAAAATAAATCCCTCGAATCTATGACTTCTTCACTCCCCGAAAGTCTTTTTAAGGTTAGCTGTTTAAGGTATGTTATACTGCTGACTTCGAGGAACCCATCAGGCACTCAGGAAACACTGCGTAGTTAGAAAAGAATTGGAAGCAAAAAGTAATATTATAAAAATGAGATAATTGCCTTGTTCTTAACCAACCTTCACTTGTCGAATAGCTTTTCTAGTAAAAGGAAGGTCAAGTTTAGCAGGTTATAAGTCGGGGTAGTGTTGTGAGTTAGGACTATCACTCCTCAGTTTTTGTTATTATATTATACATTAGCCGAATAGTCTGTAGCACTTAGTGATGACACGCATAAAGTCAAACAGGCTAGTAATCGAAACTAGGTTTTGATGGAGTGGGCTTTAGAATTCTGTTATAGATTCTCCTCATTGATAGTCTTCTGAGGGATTCCTTTGTTCGGGCGTCAAATTTCTTGAAATTGGTTAGAAAGACTAAATTAGGATGTAATTATGATATCACGTGAAAATAAGATTATACAGAATGTCCTCTTAGGATTTTAATTCCCTCCGAAACATCATCTAATAAGAGTATGTTTGTTATTTTGTCTGAGTTACACTCAATTAAAACATCATCACGCAACCGAATATTCAGTTATATTTGAGGTAATAAAAATTGTCTGTGAGTCTTCGAAGTTACACACGCTACCTGTTATCAAGATATTTATTTCACATTACTGTCAGGGGGGGGGTAAGTTTCAACATCTCATTGTCTAGAGTATAGTCTCTGACGGCAGTTTACTCTTCTTGAATCGCCGAAAAGTTACATATCTAAAGTACTAGGGTGACTAATGTTTTGTTTCAGGGAATTTGCTCTACCATTTAGGGCTCTATTTCTTCTCCCAAAATGCCCTGGTACGGCTGAGAGTGGGGAGAGTCAGCTCTCCCTCTCCAAATGCTCTCACATGGCCAGCGAATATATAGCCTCTACCAGGGAAGTCCTACTCACTGCCTTCTCGTGGCGGGGGTGTTGCCTACGAAATTGAGAGAACGGAAACAGAATGTCCGGCGCTTTAACCGAGTTGGTGGACACAGAAAGTCCATGTAGGGGAGTTGGAAGACCCCGATTCCAAACCAATGGTGTACATAGGCTCCAGTATCCTGAGGGAACAAATGGCGTATGAATCAATCGTTGGTCACCGGCTACCATGGGACTGCATCTCCTCACGATGCTCCACTGCCTTGTGTATCAGACCTTTTGGTCAAAGGCTCCGGGTGTGGCCTCCTAAGAAAACCACCTGCTTCAGTCTGGGCACCTGGGCAGTATCACATCCCACACACAAATAAATGAAATGATGAATTCTGTGGCGCATATGTACCTGGTGCCCTTTTGTACCAATATATATGTGTTTAAATAAATATAAAAATCTTCATATCTAGATCTTGTCTTTCAGCATGTAGCTAATCAATTTCTGTATAGTAATAAGATCTGATATCTAGATCCCATTGTACAGAGCAATTTGAATAGACATAATCCTCAACATGACGCTATAATAGATTTAACCGTACGCTACATCTGACATACGGTTTGCTTCAATACATGTATCTGAAGCCTTTATGTATATAAACATAACACAAATTCACTACACTCATTTTTCCTTGAAAAATTCGACCCTCGCTTCAGATAGTACGGATGCTTTCATGTCGACAAGCTCAACTCATCTCATTCAACTTAGGAAGTCATTATGGGCAAAAAACAATACCTGGTAAATTTACAAAGTCTAGCTACTGAAGTGGTAAATAAAAAACACGTACAAGAATAGGGACGAGAATTTAGGCAAAAAATTCCAATTCACAACATATCTTTGTACCGTACAGAAATAAGCTAAGTTAGAAAAACAATAAGATAAACAAGGAAATGAGTCGGGAATAAAAGATTCATGAGAAGCTGTGTATTATTGTTGATTTTAGTGGTTTGTAACTTCGGATCCATATAATGATTGGAAGGATTACTATTGACATTCTGAAATGTGACCAAAGTAACATCTCATCAGATTAAAAATATGCTTCTCTCACTTTCCTGATAGAATTCGACCGACACTCATGACTAAAGCGTCGTCTTTGTAATCGCCTGAGAGTTAATCTCCTCGGAATTTATTTATTAGTAAGCAACAATTCATAAACCCATATATGTACAAATTTTTTCTTGTATCCTGTTTGATATTCTGCCTTGTCCAAATCCCTTTCAGAATTTGATAATTTTTTGTACACAGTTCTTACCACGTGTATATGCAGTCACAAAAATTCAAATTCTGAATGATTGGATGCAACAAGTAAATTGCTTAGCGGTATGTCATGTTCTGTTTTTATATGACTTACATACGCCCTCGCTAACATAATTAGTGCTTTTCTAACATCAAGTTTTCCCTCGTTTTCAGCCCGAATCACTTTGTTTGTGTGACTGTTGACATCTTACACTTTGTCGACCACTGATGCTAGCTCAAACCAGCCTCCAGCTAATAAAAGAATTAAAGCGCTCCCAACAAAGCAAATTACCTCCTTATGGTGAAGATAAGATCCGAATATGCTTGGAAGAAATGCGAGTATTATATGATGCAAATCATCGTGATGTAGCCCTTGTATCTAACTCTTCGTCTGGGCCATCATCATCATATGAAACAGATGATCATAGTAATAAAATTCAATCTGTTTTAGTCAGACATGCTATCTTGGAACGTAATAAACGTTGTCTCCTTGCCTATCACCATGCTAGATTAATGCGAATCAAAGAACTACGGTGGGAATATGGTATTATTCTACCTAAAGGTAATATTAATTTCTTTATACTACACTGTATTTTATATAACTAATCACTTTGAAGTAGTTTTTCGCATACAATATGTCATAAGTACATATTTGTTAGTACCTCTGCACATAACTTTCTAATACAGAAATGAAACAACGGAAGCATCCGTCTAAACGAAAAGCTACTATAAGGTTATACTTATTTAGATGATCTAATTTGGATAATTGATAATACAACTTCTAGAACTAGATGTATGTACGGATTCCGTTAGTGTATTTTCTGCAGTCATAGGTTTCAATAAATTAAACTAATCTTTGTTAATAGCATTCATGTCTAACAATTTAACATACAACTCTATCAATTTGTCGGTGTATCTTAGTTTAAAGGCATTAACGAAAATTCATAAGCCCAATAATCCATCACGTTCAATTCTATCAGTGTTGGTCACCTACACACAAATTTGCGAAATGACTGACAAAAGTATTAAACTCTATCCGAAATCAATTTTGTAAGTATTCCTTAATTGACTCACTTTCGAAAAATTGATGGCGTAGCTAAGGGTAGCCCTTTAGGACCATTGCTAGCTGATGTATTTATGGGATATATTAAAACTCTAGTTAAAAACTCAATTCAAAAGATGTGTCTGTATAAACGGTAAGGTGATGACATCATAATTATAGGGGATAAACGTGAATGTGTGAACCGCTTGTTGAAAGAACTCAACACAAGTCAAAAGTGTATTTCTATTACATGCGAAGAAAAGAAGAATAACCAAGTTCCTTTTCTAGATGTACTGATTAGTAGGAGAGGTGACGTTTCTATCAAACGTTCTGTATATAGAAAGACATGGACATGGACGGGGCAATATCTTAATTTCCATAGTCACTGTCTAATTCGTTACAAACGTGGATTAATAAAGGTCTTATTCAATAGAATCAACCATATTTGTACTAGAGATACTATTGAAATAGAGACAAAGCTCTTGACTGAAATAATAATGAATAACGGTTATTCATTGAAGCTTATAAACCGCTGGAGGGGCTACAATACTATGAAACCTATGACACATCTGGCACCCAGAAAGCGAGTTTACATTATGCTACCATTTGGAGGCACAATGTTTGGACATTAAAAGTTCCTACATGTAGTTTAGAGCGAGGTTTCAGGAGACCAGGAATAACGTTCCGTGTACACGAATCATTTGCCCTAGCGGTGCGAGGTGATAAAAGGACGTGGGAAGGGTTAGTCGTGGAGATAAAAGAGTTGTTAGGAGGTATAGGAGGGATTTGAATGTGACCAACTTGGTCTTGTGTGCTGTTACGGGTATGAGGGCATTTATCACTTCCCGGCTGCCCACACCGTGGAAGGATATTTCTTGAGGGACCTGAAAAAGAAGTTGGATTAGTGTTGGTCTGAACGACCTGGGAGCGTGACCGCAGTGCCCAAGGGACAATTGCTTGAGGCCGGTCACGCACGGCCTTTTTGTGGGGGATTTTTGAAGTGTTAGCTCCGTTCTTCAAAGGACCTTACCGCCGGAGACGGAAATCCGCGGGATAAGGCGAGGTGTGCATTTTTAGGGTTGACCTTTTCTAACCCCACCCCTCCTTGTGGGAAGGCAGCATCACTGTCATGCTAGTTGTCTGAAGGAAACACCTTACTGCCGCCACACCTCTGTACAGTCGGCAGTACGACTTCGCCTTCGGACCTTGAGATTACTGCTTTTAGTCTTACCGCTCTTCAACCGACCTGTCTGGCATGGTAGTGTGGTGTGGTCTACTTATATCTACATAAGTAGTATATGGTGTGGGTCAGACATAGAATGTATTTTGGCAAAAGACCGATGAGGAAAGAACTGAAATAAAGCGCAATCGTCTGGAAAATGCATGAGCAATGGAATAAGAGAAGAAACAGTGAAGATTGAAACAATTGGCTGTTAATTTGCAAATTGACTGTTCATTGTTTGGTAATCAGAATTTACTGAGATAGTCTGTAATCTTTGCTTAAATACATTCGATTGTCCCCAGTCGTGTTCTGTTCACAACAGTAGGACCTCGAGGAACGATTGTTCCAGCCAGCATAGCTCGATTGCTTCATCACGATAGGCAAGCCCGACCACCACGTCAAGGTAGCAGCAACGGTCAATATGGGATATGAATCGACAACTTCATCTCTGCGCTAATGTGGTATGGCAACTCGAACTGATGTACGTACGTACGAAGTTCTACGTTGTAACTGACTGACTGACCATTTGGAGGCGACTCAAATAGTCTCATGTTGAGACGGAGACTTGAATTAGGCATCAATACGACATTTTATGCTGCCCAATTCGTCATTATTGAAAAGAAACGTCTATGTTTCACCAAAACCTAAAAAACACCACATGAGCGATTGAGTCACATCCCATTGTGTCTATCAATTTACATGTACGTGCGGAAACATGTACATAGGGAAGAGCAATCGTGATCTGCAAGTAAGGGTGGCGGAACACATACCCAAATGGCTGCAGAAACAAATGAATTCCAATGATCAAATAAGATCAAAGGATAGACAGACATCTTCCTCCATTGCGAAACATTCGTTTGTGACTGGTCATAAGGTTGATATCAAATCAACATTTGCACTGTTGTACAAAATCCTTCGAGGGTGTTTCCTGAGGTTTATTGAAGGCTTGGCTATACGGAAACTGAAACCCATTTATGTGTTCAAAAACAGTTTGTTCTTACCCTTCACCTACCCTAGTAATACTGATTCATTATCCAGAGTGGTTATATTATTTTTGTGTACTTTATTTTCATTCGTTACGGCCTACCTTTCGTTTGTCTAGTTGACCTTTTAGTTTTCATATGAAAAATACCTTAACAAGTATATGTGCGATCAGATTGTTCGAAATGTATTGCGCAAATATATTACGTAATTCTGATAACCTCTGTCTTTTAATTGCATTCTCGAAAGGGCTCAAATTCCATTCAACTCTAGTTTTAGCTATAACATTACATTGCTTTAGGTGTTTTTTAGTTGAGACGCATTGTAGGAATATTGGACTGCATCTTTACCTAGGAGATCTGTCTAGCATTCTTAAGGTAGGTTTGTCATAAAGTTATGTATTCACCTTTAAGTTGTGAATAATGGACATCTGGTCTTGACAACTAAAAGTCATTACATACAAACTTTATCCTTGGTTTCCTTCATTTATATGTATATTTCTTTTTAACTTAGATATTCGTGATAGTTTATCGGAAGCAGAACAAGCATGGTTTAAACACTATTGTAGTTGTTTAGCGAATTTCATGCAAGCTGATGGATCAGAACGTGGAGGCGGTGGAATGTTAGATTTAACACAATATCGTACACCACCAAAATCATTATTCCTGGAAGTTCGATGTCTTCAAGATTTTGGTGAATTCGAAACAGAAGATGGCAGTATCTTACATTTAACAAAAGGTAGTCATCATTTAATGCATCGAACTGATTGTGAGGCTTTAATTCGTCAAGGTATTCTTGAACATATAACAGAATGAAATTAAACTGTCATGTGTAATTATTATCATGTCCTAAAAAGAGAATTATACTGTACATATTTAGATTTATCATGTTATTATTTTCATGCAGAAGATTTTAGACAATGGGACATCTAGGAATGCATTTGCTGTTAGCCCCCAAATGCCCTGGTACGGCTGAGAGTGGGGAGAGTCAGCTCTCCCTCTCCAAATGCTCTCACATGGCTACGAGTATATAGCCTCTGACAGTGAAGTCCTACTCACTGCCTTCTCGTGGCGGGGGTGTTGCCTACGAAATTGAGAGAACGGAAACAGAATGTCCGGCGCTTTAACCGAGTTGGTGGACACAGAAAGTCCATGTAGGGGAGTTGGAAGACCCCGATTCCAAACCAATGGTGTACATAGGCTCCAGTATCCTGAGGGAACAAATGGCTTATGAATCCATCGTTGGTCACCGGCTACCATGGGACTGCATCTCCTCACGATGCTCCACTATCTTGTGGATCAGATCTTTAGGTCAAAGGCTCTGGGTAAGGCCCCCTAAGAAAACCGCCTGCTTCAGTCTGGGCACATGTGCAGTACCACAGCCCTCACACAAATCAAATGAGATTTGTGTGGTGCATATATACCTATCTGGGGCCCCTTTGTACCAATATTTATGTGCTTAAATAAACAAAAAAATAAATTACACAAAAACATAATGACGACATCGTGATCATTTGGATGAGGAAAAAGTGTACAACCTCTCATTAAATTTATAAAGACAAGTACAATATGTGAAGCTATGAAAACTGAGTAATACCACAGACAAGATAAATTCCATACAGTTAAAAATCGCATAATACTGTTTATAAAGAATACATTAGGACACTGCAACCAAGCTGCTTGTATTCAGAGTAGTCTAGAGACTTGTCGTGTCACTGAATTTCACGACATGCAGGCCTTCGGTTCGCTTTTGCTATTAATGTGGAATCATGAGCGAAACTTCGCGGATGATCTGGCTCTTCTATCACAAACGCAACAACAAATGCAGGAGAAAACGACCAGTGTAGCAGCAGCCTCAGCAGCAGTAGGTCTCAATATAAACAAAGGGAAAAGCAAGACTCTCCGATACAACACAATATGCACCAATCAAATTACACTTGATGGAGAAGCTTTGGAGGATGTGGAAACCTTTACATATCTGGGCAGCATCATTGATGAACACGGTGGATCAGATGGAGATGTGAGGGCGCGGATCGGCAAAGCAAGAGCAGCATATTTACAACTGAAGAACATCTGGAGCTCAAAACAATTGTCAACCAACACCAAGGTTAGAATTTTCAATACAAATGTCAAGACAGTTCTTCTGTATGGGGCAGAGACGTGGAGAACTACGAAAGCCATTATCCAGAAGATACAAGTGTTTATTAACAGCTGTCTACGCAAGATACTTCGGATCCGTTGGCCAGACACTATCAGCAACAAGTTACTGTGGGAGACAACAAACCAGATTCCAGCGGAGGAAGAAATCAGGAAGAAGCGCTGGAAGTGGATTGGGCACACTTTGAGGAAATCACCCAATTGTGTCACAAGACAAGCCCTCACATGGAATCCTGAAGGTCGAAGGAGAAGAGGAAGACCAAAGAACACATTACGCCGAGAAATAGAGACAGACATGAGAAGAATGAACAAGAACTGGAAAGAACTAGAAAAGAAGGCCCAGGACAGAGTGGGTTGGAGAAAGCTGGTCGGCGGCCTATGCTCCATTGGGAGTAACAGGCGAAAGTAAGTAAGTAAGTATGAGCGAAACTCACCAGAAGTTTGTTAGTAATAAATCCAATGTGTAAAATGTGTTTTAATAGGGAAGGTTTTGATGTCTATTTGTCCCAGCTTACATTTTTATTGTCGTTTGTCACTAATGGATAAAGTTATCTTAACACCATTTCGGTCTGTTTTATATGTCACATAATATTTTAGGAGGGAGATAGATTACATTAAAATTCAAGGTGCTATTGTTCTAAATAGCATTCGTTTCAAATTAGCACGTAATGTTTTTCATACTTGAAATCATGAGTCAATTGAATCTAGACCACCATGGAAAACCTAGAAGCACTGGACGGCCGTTTCGTCCTATTGCGGAACTCCTCAGCAGTGCGCACGCACGATCCCGCCTCGCGAGATTCGAACCCAGGACCTACCAGTCTCGTGCCAGAGCACTTAGCCGATAGACCACTGAGATGGTCGGCATCCAACTGTGTTAATGCCTAACTTCAACCAATCCATGAAGTTTGAGCAACTGTTCACCGATAGTCTTCACTGAGTTGTTATCTCACAACGGACGTGGTTGAATTCCACTGGTCACTGCTTCTCACTAGAACTTCAGGACATATATCTTGAAGTCAGTCACTAGTGAGCATATGATTATAATCAGAAGGCGTTTTTGTGGAGATTTCAGTATTTTTCATAGCTAAAATCATAAGTCACTTGAAGCTAGACCACCATGGAAAACCTGAAAGCACTGGATGGCCGTTTCGTCCTATTGTGGGACTCCTCAGCAGTGCGCATCCACGATCCCGTTTGATGAGTTTAAGAAATTTCTCTAAACATGTCGTAAGTCGTACTGCTGACTGTACAGACGTGACAGCAGTGAGGTGTTTCCTCCAGACAACCAACATGACAGCGATGCTGCCTTCCCACAAGAAGGGGTGGGATTAGAAAAGGTCGACCCTAAAAATGAACACCTCGCCTTATCCCACGGATTTCCGTCTCCGGCGGTTAGGTCCTTTGAAGAACGGAGCAGTTGTCCCTTGGGCACTGCGATCACGCTCTCAGGTCATTAAGACCACTTCTAACCCAATTTCCTTTCCAGGTACCCCTAGAAGAACCCTTCCACGGTGTGGGCAACCGGGAAGTGATAACTGCCCTCATACCTCTAATAGCACTCAAGATCACTACTTATATCTGTCAATATCAATAGGATATACTACACCACCACTGGTTATATTGAAGTTAAATTTGAACTGATATAAAGTGAAATACTCAAGTAGTTCAGTATTAAATATTTAATTTTTAGATTATTAATACTTGGATTCTAATTCGAACAATTAATTAACAACTAATAAACATTTTCAGTTCTCATATACATATAACTATCTATATGTCTGTGGTGTAGGTTAATTATATCCACATAAGTAATATATGATGATGGTCAGAAATAAAATGTATTTCAGTAGTAAATCGATAAAAAAAAGAACTGAAACAAAGTGCAATCGATATGAAAATGAATGAACAATGAAATCAAAGAAGATGGATTGATATTTATAGAAAAAACAATCAAGATTGAGACAATTGATTGATAGTTTACAAATTAACTTTTTACTGTACAGTTGATTTTTACATAAATCAACATAATACATTGTTAATTACTGAATTATTAGAAGGGGTTTTGATAATAATCATATGCACACTAGTAACTGACTTCAAGAGATATTTCCTGGAGTTCTAATGAGAAGCAATGACCAGTAGAGTTCAACCAAGTCTGTTGTAGAGATATAAACTCACTGAGGACAATTGGTGAACGGTTGATCAAACATCGTGGATTAGTTGAAGTTAGACATTAACACCGTTGGATGCCGAAAGGCTCAGTGGTCTATCGGTTAAGTGTTCTGGCGCAAGACTGGTAGGTCCTGGGTTGCTGAGGAGTCCCATAATAGGACGAAACAGCCGTCGAGTGCCTCCAGGTTTTCCATGGTGATCTAGCTTCAATTGACTCATGATTTCAGTTATAAAATTACTAAATTGATCCATGGAGTACAGTGACTAATCTACACAATATCTATATACATAATTATCTCTATATATATGAAGTTATGTTGCATTATTCATTGAATTTTTATTGTACAACCGATTTAATGAAGTAAATATTTTATAGAATACATCAAGTTGAATTACCTAATACTTACTAGGGACATTAGTAGAAATAAAGAAAAACAATACGAGTTAGCTGATTCACAACAAGACATACCAATGATAATCTAGAGAAAAAGAGTGATGATGGTAAATCAGTTAATGAGGTCATGAATCTTCATCGACTGAGATGGTTTAGCCACGTGTTACGCATGCCTGAACACCGATTACCACGACAAGCTATGCTGACTAGTATTGGCGATGGTTGGAAAAGAGTTAGTGGAGGCCAAACCAAAACGTGGCATCAGTGCTTGAAGTCACTAACTTCTAGTCTGAGCCATATTAGTAGATGCAGAGTACTTAGTCGCGATCCACGTGACTGTCGTAACCAATGGTTGGAGACAGTGAGTGACATTGTTCAGAATCGATCACAATGGCGCAGGTGTATAGACTCTCTGTATTCCCTTAAACCTTGAGATTAAAATTGTTTCATTACTATATCCTTATATACAACTTTTCTTTTATATATTACCACCACTAAATTAACTATTTCTATGAATCCGGTGTTCATCCTTTTGTGCTAATGAGGTATGGCAACTTGGACCGATGTATATATGTGTGCCTGATCCTACGTTGTAGCTAACTGACTAAGAAAAAAGGAAAAGAAAAACCAACATCATAAGTTAAATATGTTTCAATTTATTTATCATAAGAACATGATTGATGTAGTTAGTTTCCCTTTTTTTTCTTTTTCCTTATGTATATATAATGACATAACTTGGGTATACACATGTGTCACTGTATATAGTATCTTAACGACATGAAAAGATAAAAAGAAGTGAACAAAAAAGAGAAAAACAGACAAAAAACTAAACAAAAAAAAACAAAAACAGGAGAGAAAAAGTATAACATAAAGAAAAACAAAAAAGAGAACAAAGGGGTGTGTGCAATAGATAACTTTATTATTCGTAATAAGCAGACAATTATGAATAAATTACATATATATATATGTATATATCACTATAAATTTATACATTAAAAGAAAAAGAGTAAAAGAATAAGATATATAGAAACAAATTCAATCTATAGAAGAGAAAAAAAACTAGCGGAAGGGGGTGGTGATGAGAGGCTATTCATGATTCAATAAGAATGAATAAAGAATAAATGAGAATAAAGAAAGAAAAAAAAACGATGACGTATTGTCCCCCCCCCCCACACACATATATATACGCACACCCCTGTATGCACTTGTATGTGAAAATCAATAATGCAATTCACACAAAAACCTAAAAAAACAACAACAAAGAAGTAGTTGTCAAGACACATTTCTTTCTGTTTATGATTTTTATATTAGTAAAATAGAAATTTCAAAAAAAAAACAAACAGAAATAAAACGTAAGTATAAACTATATTACTGAATTAGTTTATTAGTAGTAGAATGCAAAAAAGATCAAATTAGAAAGAAAATTATTGTTTCGAGTTAATAACAACAATAATAAAACAATGATGATAATAAATGATTACATAACTGATTATGTTCATAAAATATGAACAGTCAAGGAATGATCATATATATTGCCTGTCGTATATATATATATATATGTGTACAATTGTGTTTATTCACGATCTGTTATTAATTGTCAAAGACTATCAATAATACTATAAATACCTTTCAAAGTTCTATTCTCAATCGATCTGTATAACAAATGCTTACAATGATTCTAACGACAAAAAGGTAGAGTAAAACTTGGTTAGGAACAACGATATATATTTTTTCAGTAGTAGCGACAACAACGATAGCAACATCATAATTGATAAAACACAATGGTTACATTAAATGTTTACTGATATGAAAAAGTACCATGTAATCTCATTTTGAGAAAAACACAAAAAAAAGGGAAATCCTATTAAGAATGTGCTTGACAACAATCTCACACTGTGTATTACTTATTTACGACGAAACATAATTGGTTACCAATGAAAAAAGGATAACAACTAATAATATATATATGATTATAATGAGATAGAATAAAAGGAAGTTTTGAGTAAGGGATATTAGATTGAAATATGTTACCACAACAACATCATCATACATCAATATTATCATCATATGTTGATTGTAAAGCTGATATAGAAGTAAAAAAAAAACGGTACACATCAGCCTAAGACAAAAGTCACAACAACAATAACAACAAAAGAGCTAGAAAAAAGGATTATAGACAAAGTAATGAAGATAAAGAAAGACCTATCAAGAGGAAAACGGCTATCACATGTATACATTGTATGTATATAACAGTATATCTATATATGTATACATATATACTTGAGTAACTTCTCTAAGCTTCTGTTTACAATAGACAATGAATAAGAAAAAGAGAAAACAATCAAAAAAAAAACTAATGAAAGAATATATTGAACATGAACTAGAAATTATTTATACCCTATAGAAAAGAATTAGGTAAATAAAGATTATAATTGCATAATTAATGAACTTGAATTGAAAGAATAATATTATTATTATTATGGTATTAGTTATGCAATTGTATAATCTCATTGAAGAATCAAATCTATCAAAAGACGATAACTACTATTAATATTCAATAGAATATGATGAAATTCAGTTGAACTATCTGGTTTTTTTAATTCTCTCATTGATAAGAAATGTTTTTTGTATAGAGACTTATACTACTTATGAGTAGTTAAAAACTAAATTTGAAAAAAAAGAATTGTGCATAAAGGAGGACAAGAATTTAAATGAACATTAAATATTATAAAAAAAAAGATGTTATCCATAGCCTATTATACTGGAAATTCTTTGTTGTTGTTGTTGTTGTTATTGAATCGCTGAATAACAGAAGCAATACTTTTGAAGCTAAGAACAAAATGCGTTGTCAGGTTAACACAAAGTATTATATTGATTTGTGTGTATGTGCATGCATTAAAGGATTGGAATAATATAAGTAGTAACATGCATTTTTTTTCTTCATATGTACGAAATAATTCAGAGTACTTAACATCGAAAAAGAAAAAAAAAAGAGCAATTACATAGTAACAATGAATTGCAGGTAAGTAGGCAGCTAAAAATAAAAGAGAGAGTAAAAACTCAATAAAATATGGAGGAAACCAGAATGAATAGAAAGAAATCTAGGCATCTTACACATATACACACACACACACACAGAATGTTCGTTTATATATATAAATATGTATACAGTAAAGAGAAGGAGAAATGTAAAAATATATATGGATCATTCATTCCTTTGACAAGTTAGTTTGATCATACAACATCGTACAATAACAAGCTTTATTTAAATATTCTCCATATTATCAGATAAAATGTATACATTAGAATTAGACATTGGATTATTAGCTGGTCGACTTTCAACAATAATATTCCTATAAAATGAATGAAAATAAAAAAAACAAAACAATTTAGATTTCAACGAACATGACTACAGATCTGATCATAATATTGATCAATATATCTTGATCCTATTGGACAAGCAAGTGGCTATCAGGACTCAGTGGCTGAGAGGATAACGCGATGGTGTTTGAAGCAAAAGATACTGGATTCGAGTTCATAATAGGACGAAACGCGCGTCCTGGCTGGATTCCACTGCTAGCCACTATCCATCTTTGCTTACCATGCTTATGAATTTAGGCTATATCAATGCAATACGCACAGTATACACATATGCCAATTAGAGACTGATCAGTTGCAGTCTTAAAACATCACTCGAAGGATTTAAACAAAACAATACAAAGTGAATTTATTTTGATCCTAGTTTTATACGATGTCAGTCACAGAACCGATAAATCAGTGACAACACACTTCAAACTATAAAATTATTTATGATGAATTAAAATTCTACAAAGAGGCAATACTTATGTCAAGATTGTAAGAACGTGTTGTGAACGAGTACAAAGTAGTATGAATTCTTGCTCATTATCATTCAACCCAGCCACTAAATGCCTTGGTACGGCCGAGAATGGGGAGAATAAGCTCTTCCTCTCAAAATGCTCTGATATAGCCACGTGAATACAACCACTGTCAAGGAAGTCCTACTTGCTGCCTTCTCGTGGCAATACTGTTGTTTACGATATTGAGAAGAGGAAAAGAGAATGTTCAGTGCTTTAACGTGGTTGGTAGATATGAAGGATCCACCTAGGGGAGATGGAAAACCCTCATTCAAAACCAATGATGTACATGGGCTACTGGATCTTGAAAAGACAATAGGAGCATGAACCCATTATTGATCACCGACTACCATAAAAGTGCATCTACTAAAGTTGCTTCATTGTCTTGTGAATTAAACCTTTAGGTTAAAGACTCGAGGTATGGCCTCGTAAGAAAACCACCTACTTTGGTTTAGACATCCGGGCAGTATTTAACCCTGAATGCAGATAGGATAATGAAGTGTAAGCATGATAATGATTGATTGTTTGCTTATATATACATATATAGAAATAAAAAAAATATGAATAAAGAGTAACTAACCGATTGTATCCTAATAATCGATAAATATTTTCTTTATCATTAATTTCTTGAGTTAACTGAAATTACAATTAGAATATATTAATAAGATATGTGTTAATACATACACTGTAGTGTATACAGATTATTGGTTATGTATATCATTAACTGACGAGAGACATTAGTTCCCCCAACCAATTCAACAAAGAAGAAAACAGAGAAAAAACCCATATATATATATATACAAAGGGTATTGTAGATGGAACGAAATATCTTTGAGATGGTGAGGAAGACTTGTAACTCAGGTGGATAACTATGATGGAGTTTTGTTCTCTGAGTTGGATTGTATGGTAGTGCAGCTTTCATAGTTATTTTGAACGATATCATCAGCACAAACGTCAGGTATAAGTGAAGTGTTCGAAAATTTTCACAGATTACATTGGCTGCACATAGCAATCACTTTCTAAACACATCTCAGAACACTATTCCATATAGATTTTAAAAGGAGAATGTAAAACAATTATCAGTTCAATACATAAGTATCTAAGCAACTCTGGACAAGTCGCTTTGAAGCAGTCTTCGTTTAAATTAATCTATACAATCAAAGGAACGGGTTCGAAAGGAAGTTGAATCAAAAACCTTATGTACTACTGAGGCGTTGGCCCGAATTTTAGGTACAAAAACGATAGGTCTAACCTCTCATCCTTCTTCGTTCCCTCCTGTAGTATGCTCATTCAAATATTAGATTCATATTACATCATAATGATTATTCAGCCTTTATTATGACCTTTACCTTTTTCGTTTTTCTTTATAATTGGTCAAGTGGACATAATTCTGATTCAGAAATTATTTTAATCCATCTATTCTTCACTAATCCCTCTTTATTATGTAACCTCAATTAACAAATGGAATCTCGATTCATAATGTGTGCATTCTTAGCCACCGAATGCCCTGGTAAGGCCGAGAGTGGGGAGAGTCCGCTCTCCTTCTCCAAATGCTCTCACATGGCCACGCGTATATAGACTCTGACAGGGAAGTCCTACTAACTACCTTTACACGACGGAAGTGTTATTTACAAAATTGAGAGGACGAAAAGCGAATGTTCGACGTTTTAACTGGGTTGGTGGATACGGAAAGTTCACCTAAGGGCGTTGGAAAACCCTGATTCCAAACTAATGGTGAACATGGGCTCCGACATCCTGAGGGAACAAATGGAGTATGAATCAATCGTTGGTCATCAGCTACCATGGGACTGCATCTATTTACGATGCTTCACTGCCTTATGGATCAATCCTTTAGATCAAAAGCACCGAGTGTAGCCTCCTAAGAAAACCACCTGCTTCAGTTTGGGCACCTGGGCAGTATCACAGCCCTTACACAAATCTTATTTGATTTGTGTGGCGCATATATCTCTAGTGCCCCTTTGTACCAATATTTATGTGTTTAAATAAAATAAAATAAATTCAAATATATGACATTTTTCATGATTGTTCCATATAACTGACAAACTACTGATTCAATGCTATTTAAACAAGCTTTTTTCAAATGTTGCTGTCGACCCTAATTTTGCCCTATCTAGTTTATGTAATATAACTCCTTCCACAACATAATATGAATTAATTATGTCGACCATTGAAATGATTTGAACAAGAGAATATACAGAATCAATTATCTAACTATTTTCATAGTTGCAAGCGTGAGTCAATTGAATCTAGACCATCATGGAAAACCTGGAAGCACTGGACGGCCGTTTCGTCCTATTGTGAGACTCCTCAGTAGTGCGCATCCACGACTTCGTCTAGCGAGATTCGAACCCAGGACCTAGCTGTCTCGCGCCAGAGCACTTAACCGATAGACCACTGAGCCGGCATCCTATGGTGTTTATGTCCAACTCCAACCAATCCACGAAGTTTGAGCGACTGTTCACAAATTGTCTTCAGTGAGATCCTATCTCACAACAGACGTGATTTGAACTTCACTGGTTAGTGCTCTTCACTAGAACTCCAGGATTTACCTCTCGAAGTCAGTCATTAGTGAGCTTCAATTGACTCACGCTTGCAATTATGAAAATACTAAACCTCCACAAAACCCTTTCTGATAATATCTAACTAACATTGTCTATATTATATAACACTTCATGAATCCAGCCTAGGAATTCATTACTATGGTATATAACTACACTACTTACAGATTGAAATAAGTAGACAAAAACTAAATACATAAATACCTATGACAAAAAAAATGAATAATTGACTGACCTCTCCAGTGAAACTTTTTCCTAATAGACCATGTGGATGAAATACAAGAATGCTATCGCGAAGGCATACTATGAAAAATAAATAAAAGGGGTAAACGAGATCAAAAGAATACAAAGTAGAATAATAATAATAACATCAATATTATACCAGCAATTGAACCGGCATTGAATATACTTCCTAATGAAACAGCGAATGAATTGAGGAATAAGTTAATGTCCGCGTTATTACGTCAAAGAACACAAAAATCTAATATGACTAAAAATGAGTTACATGCATTGAAGCAACTGAGAAATGATAAGACAATTATCATTACAAAAGCAGATAAAGGTAACACTACAGTCATTATGAACAAAATTGAATACGAGAAAAAAGCCAAGGAACATCTACAAGAGGGATCTTATGAACTAATCAATGATGCAAAAAGCAGAACGACGCTTAATAAACTTAAGGCGGAAACAAGTAAAATCTTACATTCGTTAAAAGTCAAACTCGGAACGCCATTATGGTTTTTGCTAAATCGAAAAAGTTGTAACCCTTGTCGATTCTATGGACTCCCTAAGATTCACAAGGATAGTACTCCACTAAGACCAGTGGTCGATTTCACAAATTCACCGACTTACAACCTGGCGAAATACTTAGCTAGGATACTAAAACCGTATGAAAAACTGATTAATCATGGAATTAAAAACTTTATGAAATTTAAAAATATTATTGATACGATCGACATAGAAGAGGATGAAGTAATGGCAAGTTTTGATGTTTCTTCCTTATTTACTAACGTACCTATCAAAAGAGCGTTGGATATTATTTATGCTTGTTTAGAATCTGATTCGGATTTAAATTTACGTTGCCCGTTAGATCCATCTGAGTTTATAAAATGTTTGGAACTATGTTTAAGGTCCACGTTATTCATATTTCGAGGAGATCTATACAGACAAAAAGAAAGTATAGCTATGGGTTCACCAGTTTCTCCGATTGTTTCGAATTTATTCATGCATTCACTCGAAACTAGTGCAATCGCAAGAAGTGTTTGTCCACCAAAGGTCTGGCTACGGTATGTAGATGACATTTTTGTTATCATTAAACAGGACTATTTGGAAGAATTGTTTGCAAATGTGAACAACATTTCGGAACAAATTAATCTAAGGAAAGAAATAGAGTCTGTTGACCACAAACTGGCATTTCTCGACTGTACGGTTGAGTGAAGACTTAATAATAGGAAGTTGAAAATAAATGTTTTCAGAAAATCAACACATTCAGAGAGATACTTAGATTTTGATTCGGCTCATGCTTTATGTACGAAAGTCACAGTTGTTAAAAATTTAATTAACAGAAGTCTTAAGCTTGTCATAGATAAGGAAGACCAACAATATGAATTGAATAGGATTTTATCTACAATTAGGGATAACAATTACCCAAAAGAGTTTTTAAAGAAGATTGTTAGAAAGGAAAGAAAAAGCTAAACTACAATGTGTACAGAAAGATTGAAAGTCCACTATAGTCATACCATACCGTAGCGAAACATCGGAAGAAATCAAACGGATTTTAAACAAACATGATATAAGAGTGTATTTTAGAACATGTGACACTATAAGATCGTCATTGGTGAAGGTTAAGGATACGTTACCAAAGGAAGAACAACAAAATATTGTCTATGAGATCAATTGTCATGATTGTAATGTGGCTTATATTGGAGAAACATCCAGACAATTGAAGGTAAGGTTGAAGGAACACAAACAGTGTTTAAAAAATGTTCCCAAAACTTCGGTTGACTTAAGGAAACTTGAGAATAAGTCTGCAATAGCGTTACATGCGTTGGAAACGGGACACATGATTAATTTTGAAGGGGTCAAAATACTTCAAAAAGGATTCAACACTCATAAAGAAAGATTGACAGCAGAAGCGCTGTATATATGGGCGAATAAGAACAGTCTAAACAGAAAGGATGGCATTCAGCTAGCTACCATTTGGCAAATATTCATCAACAAGTAATTTGACCTTTTCTTTTATTCAACCTATCTACTTCACAAGAATCGTTATTATGACTGAAATCAATATGAGTTATGTTTAGCATTACATAATTATGTACTTGATGATGATTCTCATTTTATTTGCAACTTCGATGATTCAGAAAGGAGAAAAACTTTTCAACCTTCATTTTTGCACTTTTATTCTTATTTTTACTTCACATAGAAACATATCAACACTGAATATCATTCATTAATAACTCACTCATCTTACACATACACACACACACACAATTTATGCAGTCTCCTTTAATTCACATCGTTTGAACTTTTCACTTGATTCTCATTCAACTGACTCATATTATCCTGTTGTACAAAAAATTCGACATTCAAATATGATTGGATTAAAAAGTAGTTAAGATTTTGATGATATTGTAGTGTGGTCTACTTATATCCATATAAGTAGTATATGGTGTTGGTCAGACATAGAATGTATTTTCGCAGAAGACCGATGAGGAAAGAACTGAAATGAAGCGCAATCGTTTGGAAAATGCATGAGCAATGGAATAAGAGAAGAAACAGTGAAGATTGAAACAATTGGTTGTTAATTTGCAAATTGACTGTTCATTGTTTGGTAATCAGAATTTATTGAGATAGTCTGTATTCTTTGCTTAAATACAATCGATTGTCCCCAACTAGTGTTCTGTTCATTACAATATGATTGTTAAGCAAAAAACATTATGTATATTTCTTTGATGATTTTGATTATTTCCCTGAAGAAGTCCAGATAAGTTAGCTGGACGAAACGTTGGAATTACCGTTTAAATTTCAATCGCTATGACTATTTCAATTATAATAATTTTTTCACATATAATAAAATAATAACATCAACTCGAAATCATATGCCAGTCAGCAGTAAGTCATTTGTACAAGTTTTAAATTCACACAATTAATAGTTAACCATAGGGTTCCTTTCGAATGGTTAACAGGTGTTCGTCACGAAATGATTTCAGTTTGATGAACTACTGATTACTGAAGAGTAGAGTATAATTGTTACGGGACCATTCAGTAGTGTATACACAACATGTCACCATGGATTGGAGCTGGAAACTTTAAATCCTGCTGTGATTTCATTATCTTCAGACGACTGAGCTGAAATCTGGTGGTGTAAAATTTCAAATATAGTCTACTTTACGCCATAATGAATCGATTATAGGCTGAACATATCTAGGCAAATCAAAAGCCTGTATTCAAATACCACCATCTCTCGCGGACAAACAGTAAATGAGAGAGTTGTTAAAGATCCTAAGCAAGGTGTCACCCTACATGTTACTGTATTAGAAGGACACATGTGCATATACCAATAATTTGTTGTTTCACCTTCATATTACTATTCAGGCAAATGTATCGCAAGACTGTGTACTTGATTTAGATGTAGTAGTACGTAACAGGAGACATACCATTGTCATAGACGATACCTGCCTTAATTCCAGAACCATTGAACTAGACAAATTTGCCCTAGGAACTTAGAAATTTATTTATTCACGAATCCATTTTCCAATGACTTGTAGTATTTCCTAAACAAGATGCGATTCAGTATGACAGACAGCTAAGTTAAACAAAATTAAATGTTTACATTGCAAAAATTCAAGCAGAAAATGTTACATTGGGATTCAAATATGTTCGGATAAGTACATATAAGAAATAGGATACAAAATTTAAAAAAAAAACAACAACATCGCAGATAATATTCCTACAAGCACCAAAACTTAAAGTAAATTCAAAACAGAATCATGTAGAATATCTCTTATGTTTCCGGAATTTGGCTCTTCCTTACGACAGAAATTGTCGAAATGTACACAAATGAACTTAATCTTAATGTACTTAATTACGCATGTTACCCATTGGAGAGGAGTTTGGATTCCACAAGCCAATAATATTCGCCTTTTATGACAAATTTTGATGGAGTTTTTATTTACTCTCTTTAATTTTTCCTCCAGGACTCTAAGTTAGCGCTTGCCTAGTGATGCTGTTTGGTGATTTCCGAAACGTATGTCTTTATCTACTTCCAGCACATTTTCTTAATTTCCTCTTCAGTTAGAAGATGGTTTGTTCTTTACCACAGTGAGCTATTGCTGATGGTATCCTGCCATTGAGTAACTTGTGTAGACGATTGTTATTAAATACTTGTACTTTTTTGAAGATGGTAGTAGTACTTCTTCAGGTTTCAACCCCGTAGTAAAAAGATATACAGCCTCTTAGTTTATGCTGAACTTTTACTTACTTAATTTGGTGTTTCTCGAAAACATATTGATTGTACTCAGTTTTAATTTCCCGTTGACTACCTCAAACATAATGCATGCGATGTCAAGTCACTTAGATCAATGACCACATTGTAACTTATTCGATAACCACTAGGAAGGACTTGATGTATATATGACATTGGTCACAACAAAGTAATCGATTCATTGTAAATTGTAATTGTTATCCTCACATCTTATGTTATAAACCATAGACGAAAGTTTTAGAAAAAGTTCAAGATCAGGAGTATCAAGATGAGAAATTATCGACTGAAGAGCATAAAAAGACAGTTTTTCTCTTAATTCATGATCTACAAAACTAATCTTAACCTACATTCGGAGACTTTAAAATGACTTTTGTCAAAATCGATAGCAGTGAAAACAACCAACCCTTATCATTATTTTGAGATCGTGGAGAAGATTTGTAGCTCAAGTGGATGATTTTGATGGAGTTTTGTTCTCCGAGCTGGATGATTTGGTCGTGAAGCCTTCATCATCCTTTTGAACGACATCATTATTTATCTGCACCTAGATCTTCAGTTTTAGACCAAAGGAGAAGAGGAAGACCAAAGAACACATTACACCGAGAAATGGAAACAGACATGAGAAGAATGAACAAAAATTGGATAGAACTAGAAAGGAAGTAGCAACAGTTTCAACGATAACAGACAAGACTAGATAGAGGTAATATGATTCAAGAAGAAAAAAAAAGAAGTTATTGAATAAGTCGAAAGACAAAGAGTGAGTGTATCTGTTACATCATGACTTATTATGAACTATGTGACTCAGTGTCATCAACCATCAGTTATGATAATCGTGCTGACCCTAACTAGGTAATCTGTAACTATCAACATAGATTACTTCAACAGTCAATGAATTTATGGACTCATGCCATATATTGGTTAAGCCACTAATAGTCTTCTTCTATTTCACTCCTACACTAGCAAACATTGTGTGTTGAGGTAAGTGGTAGTTCAGCATGTGTAATATATTTTTATCAATCACCTCAGTTGATAAAGACTGATTACCTTTGTGATGTGTGGGCGAGAATGATAATGATTAGTTTTACTGAGTCAGATATGTAGATAGTGTGACAGATGTTATATGTGTTATATATTCTGATGTAGCTTTGTTCTCTGAGCTGGATGGTTTGGTCGTGGAGCTTTCATCGTCCTTCTGAACTACAACATTAGCACAAACTTCGTGTAGAAGTGAAGTGTTTGAATTCCCCTATCCTTATTATTATCATTGACTAACTGTTTCTTGTTGTTGGATTGTGTCGGATTTTGATGTGGGAAAATACTGACGTTCTAGTCAGGCTAATCTCGTGTTCTTGATCTGAGTTGTGTTGAAATCCTGTAGAATAGACACTGGGTGGGAATCTAGTGTAGATATTCGTTTGTCTAAGGTAAATTAACCTACCACATACGTGTAAAAAGTGAAAGGACTGTTATAACCAGAAACCCTAGCGTTATAACAAGTATCCTACCTTTATAACACTATGTAAAATACTTACTTATGTTACTTCAGTCAGTCAGCAACAACGTAGGACCAGGCACATATATGCATCGGTCCAAGTTGGCATACCTCATTATCACGACAAGATGAACACCCAATTCATAGAAGTAGTTAATTTAGTGGTGGTGGTAGTATATAAAAGATAGGTTGTATATAAGGATATAGTAAAGGAAAGAAAAAAGTTATGAAGCAATTTTAATCTCAAGATTTAAAGGAAGACAAAGAGTGTATACACCTACGCCATTGTGATCGATTCTGATCCATGTTACACACAGTCTCCAACCAATGGTTACAATAGTCGTACGGACCCCAATCAACTAGTCTGCATCTACCAACATGGCTCAGACTAGAAGTTAGTGACTTCAAGCACTGATGCCACGTTTTGGTTTGGCCGCCCCTAACTCTCTTCCAACCATTCTCTATACCAGTCAGCATAGCGCGTCGTGATAACCAATGTTAAGGCATACGTAACACGTGGCCCAACCATCTCAGTCGATGAAGATTTATCAACTCAACAACTGATTTACCATTATTCGTTAATATCGTGTCTAACCTCACTAATACATACACGGTGATCCCAGCAGATACGAGCAATATTTCTAAGGCATCTGTGGTCGAATACTAGTAACCTACGAGTATCTTCTACTCTTAATGGCCACGTTTCACAGCCGTAAAGTAGAACAGAGCGAACTGCTGCGCAGTATACTCGTCCCTTAATTGATAGACGGATATATCACCTTCGTCATAAGTGACGTAAGTTGGCAAAAGCAAAACGAGCTTTTGGAATCCGTGCTGAGATTTCGTCAGACACCAACCCATTAGGGCTGATCAGACTTCCAAGATAAGTGAAGTTGTCGACGCCTTCGACTACTTCACTCCCTATCCTTAGTTCAAGTGTTGACGCAGGCCAGTCCTTGGATGGGGAGAAACGTATCCCAAACATCCTGGCATTATTACTGAGTTCCAACGGAAGACTCTGCATTTTGTCAGTGTCTTCACCAAACAGGACTATGTCATCTGCGTATTCTAAGTCGATAAGTGAACCTCCCGGTAGAAGATCAATTCCTGAAAATTCAGTCGACGAGAGTGTTATTTCCAGCAATAGGTCTATAATGAAGTTAAACAAAAATGGGGATAGTGGACAGCTTTGACTTATGTTACTTAAATAAACAATAAAACAAGCACAAGTCTCTTTCAGTTTAATGACGATGACAACAAGCATAAACGCAATTAGAATATTAACCCATTTCTACTCACCAATAGATTCAACTGTAATTCCATTGAAATCTAAAGTTGTGGCACGATGACGACTGGATTTAATTTGACCATTTAAGCTGACAACTTTAGCACAATCTATGGTGAAATTGAAAATGAAAAGAAAAAAAAGACAAATCAAAGTCAACGCCAACAGTAAAACACAGTAAATATGAAACGAAGATAATTTTTATAAAGACTGACTTCAAGTATTGTAGAATCATTGAAAACATGGAAATATCGGGGTAAATGTTTACTTCCAGTCAGGAGTATCTCAATCAGTACACACCAACAAACCTATAGAATATCAAGGGTCATGATATTCAGGTTAATCAAGCCGAGATGAATACTGAATAAATGGATCACGACTTTTAATATCAGAAGAGGGTTTTTGTGGAGATTTAGTATTTTCATAATTGAAAGCGTGAGTCAATTGAAGCTAGACCACCAAGAAAATCCTGGACAGCTGTTTCGTCCTATTGTGGGACTCCTCAGCAGTTCACATCCACGACCTCGCCTCGCAAGATCCGAACCCATAATCTACCAGTCTCGCGCCAGAGCACTTAACCGATAGACCACTGAGCCGGCATCCATGGTGTTAATGTGTAACTTCAACCAATCCACGAACTTTTGAATCTCGCGAGGCGAGGTCGTAGATGAGCACTACTGAGGAGTCCAACAATAGGATGAAACGGCCGTCCAGTGCCTCCAGGATCATGATATATCACAAATTGAACAAAATTTAAAAATAAGTGTATTTTTAATCAACCTACAAACTCAAAATCATAATGATTTAAGATTGTTAAATAGTCCGGTGATTCATCACGATAGGTAAACCCGACCACCACATCAAGGTAGCAGCAACAGTCGGGAGTGCTAGTATGATGTGATGACGTACTTGGGTTTATAAGCGACACTGAACCTCATCGTTTATGTGAGGGAATAGTGATACTATCCAACTATTCAGATCGAATTCATAAAAATGAAGTTTGAATTTGTAACCCATTGGTTGAAAATTAAGTGCTTTGATCAATAAATCACCAAAAAATTCGTAATGTATAGTCTGTTTCCTTATCAGTTTGGCAACGTACAGATTCAAATAAAACCGATATCAGTATCTTTAGGTCAACAAACTCGGAAGTAAGACTGCAACTCACTAACAGTTTGGCTGCCCCTAACTCTCTTCCAACCATTCTCTATACCAGTCAGCATAGCGCGTCGTGATAACCAATGTTAAGGCATACGTAACACGTGACCCAACCATCTCAGTCGATGAAGATTCATCACCTCATCAACTGATTTACCATCATTCGTTAATATCGTGTCTAACCTCACTATTACATACACGGTGATCCCAGTATATGTGAGCAATATTTCTAAGGCATCTGTGGTCGAATACTAGTAACTTACGAGTATCTCCTATTCTAATGGTCAAGTTTCGCAGCTGTAAAGTAGAACAGAGCGAACTGCTGCGCAGTATACTCGTCCCTTAATTAATAGACGGATATCTCGTCTTCGTCATAGGTGACGTAAGTTGGCAAAAGCCAAACGAGATTTCGGAATCCGTACTGAGATTTCGTCAGACACCAACCCATTAGGGCTGATCAGACTTCCAAGATAAGTTTAGTTGTCAACGCGTTCGAACAAAGTGACAGCTCATAATATCTCTGTATTCTACAGACGATATACACTCCAGACAAAAAAGAACATTTACACAAAACAATTGATTCTTGAAACAAATAGAATGATATTTATAAATAAGATCAAAATCTTATAAAAAATTGCACATATATACTACTTATTCAAAATTCGATAGTAGAACGGTTAGTGATCTAAAACAACACTTACCTAAAAAGCATATTAATATGGTATTATGCTCTAATTGTACAGTTTCAACAACCGGTAGAATATCTTCAGCTATTTAAGAAGAAAATCGAATAATAAAATGGAATTTTGAGAGAGAAAAATCAAGACAATAAAGCTATCAATAAGTAAAATCAAGGGAAAAATTTGTTTATAATCAATACACTGCATAGAGACCATGTTCACATTAGTGAGACTCTGCTTTAACTCATGCGCTATTCTTTATATATAGTTGAAATCATGAGTCAATTGAAGCTAGACCATCATGGAAAACCTGGAAGCACTGGACGACCGTTTCGTCCTATTATGGGACTCCTCAGCAGTGCGCATCAACGATCCCGCCTCGCGTGAGAATTAGAAACATTAACAAGCTGCTCGAATTGAGGTGTAGTTTGAGTGTAATTGAAAAACAAATATACGATTATTGAGATCCGTCTAGATTAATGACTGTAGTAAAGATAAGGAGTGAACTAATTGAGTAGGTTTACTATCGCGTTACTTAAATTGTATTCTTCAATTCAAATAATTTTTTTTAGAATACAACCACTGAAAACACTAGTATTTCCATGAACATGGTATTCATCCAGTCACTTTCGAATACTTATTACTAAGGAGTATCGACTAGGATAAACACATATACAAGCTAGGGATCTTATATTACCTGTTACTAACTCATTAAGAAATGTAAGAATAAAAAAATTTACATACAGAGCAAAGCAAAATTAGTCAAATTAGAATTCAGGAAGAATGACTTTGGTTGAAATAGTTCAAGTTCACGCTGATGTGCTGTAAGGTTATAACCTTTCATCATAAATAATCGATAAGTAATTCTTAGTTACATTAATAGCAAACTATTTAGTATCGTAGTCATGATTTATTAATTATCCTATTAGATTGTATGTTAGAACAAGTTTCATCTTGTTTCATTTACTGCTATATTCATGATCGTGACCTCTTTTAACTTTGGTCTGAACCATGTTCATAGACGTTCGACAGAAAAGGTTAGATTCAGGAGAGATACTGTTGTACTCTGGTCACGAAGAAAAAGATGCTCCATATACTCAGGGAGTTGCTCTAATACTATCCAAGAAAGCACAAAATGCACTTAAAGGATGGGAATCTCATGGATCCAGGATCATCAAAGTATCCTTCAAAACAAGGAAGTCACTCAGTCACAACGTAGAACTTCGTACGTACGTACATCAGTTTGAGTTCCCATACCACATTAGCACAGAGATGCAGTTGTCGATTCAAATCCCATGGTGGTAGAACGAGTAAGATTATAAGCAGTAATCCGAAAGATTAGGGTTTGAAGATGTTATTCAAGGAGTATAATCAAGTGAAATAAATTTGGAAAGAGAAAAAGAAGACATGAAGAATTCAGAAGATTAGAATTTGTGGAGAACAAAAAGAGTATATGCACCTTCGCCATTGCAAACGATTCTGAGCCATGTCATTCAAGGTTTCTAACCATCGGTTGCTATCATCTCGCGAATCCCAACCAGGTAGTCTACACCTACCAACACGGCCCAGTCCACTTGTCAGCGACTTCATGCATTTATGCCATGTTTTGGTCTGGCCGTCTCTAGCTTTCTTCCAACTTACTCCTACACCATAAAACATTGCACGTTGGGGCAGTCGGTGGTCGGGCATACGTAACACATGTCCCAGCCATCTCAACTGATGAAGTTTCACTACTTCATCAATCGATTTGCCATCCTCACCTAGTACCGGTTTCCTAATAACTGCATTACTTGCTCGGTGGTCTCAGGATATACGAGCAATGCTTCGAAGACATCTATGATCAAATACTAGCAGCCTACGAATATCCTCTACATTTACCGGCCATGTTTCACTGCCATAAAGTAGGACGGAACTAACTGCTGCACAGAAAAACCCGTCCTTTGGTTGCTAGACGGATATCTCGCCTACACCATAAATGACGCAAGTTGGCGAAAGCTAGACGTGCCTTCTGTATTCGTGCAGAGATTTCGTCACACACCACACCACAAGGGCTGATGAGACTCCCAAGATAAGTGAAGTGGTCTACACGCTCAACTACTTCACTCCCTATCATTAGTTCAGGTGTCGCTGCTACCCAATCCTGAAGTAACATTTTGCACTTCGAGGGAGAGAATCGCATCCCGAACATGCCTGCATTGTTGCTTTTAGTGGTCAGATTACTCTGCATGTTGTCAGCGTCCTCACCGAATAAAACTATGTCGTCGGCGTATTCTATGTCAACAAGTGAATCTCCCGGTAAAAGTCCAACTCCAGGAGATTGAAATGATGAAAGTGATATCTCTAAAAGCATGTCAACGACAAAGTTAAACAAGAATGGGAAGAGTGGACAACCCTGACGAACACCACTTGAGGTAATCAATTCTGATGACAATTCGCCATAGGCTTTAACTCGACCAGTTGTGTTCGAGTAGAAAGCCTTTATGAGGTTAATGTACTTCTTTGGTACTCCTTTCACTGACAAACACTGCCATAGAACCTCACGATCAACCACGGAATCGAATGCCGCTTTAAGGTCAAGAAATACTACTATTGTGGGACGTCTGAATTTGTGTCTATGTTCTAGGATCTGACGTAGAGTGAATATCTGGTCTATGCAACCACGTCCAGGTCGAAAACCAGCTTGGTTTTCTCTAGTCTGCCCTTCACGAGCTTTGGTTAGGCGACCTAGTATTATTGAAGCTAATATTTTAGACACTATATTAGTCAAACTGATCCCTCTGTGATTGTCACAAGAGGACTTTTGTCCTTTCTTATAGACTGGCACAATCAGTGATTGGGACCAGTCAGATGGAATTACGTCTAGTTTACGAATTCTACCTAAGACCTCAGTCAATCTCACTGCTAGTACTGAACCACCATCCTTAAAAATCTCAGGGGTCAACCTGTCAGGGCCTGCGGCTCTCCCTCGCTTTAGATTTCCTATAGCTTTTTCAACCTCACAGAGGGATGGAGGACTTACCTCAATTTGCCATTCAGGACGACTGGGGATCGTGGGTAATTGAAGTGTGGCTGAAGGCCAGTTGAACTGATCCCTAAAGTGTTCTGCCCATCGATCCAATCTCCTGGATTGAGAATGAATGACATGTCCATCTTTGTTTGAGATAGTTTTGCTAATAGTTGGATACCTAATACCGGTTTTTTCAACGAGTCTGAATAGTTCCCTACTATTACCTATTGCCACTGAGATGACACCATAAGATCCACCCAGGTGTCTTTCCCTTTCACTTAGTTTACCTACTTGAGCATTAAAGTCACCTGCTACTATTACTACATCAGAACGCTTAGCTTCTCGGAGAAGGTCAGAAAGTTTCCTGTAGAACTCATCTTTTATATCGTCTGAGCTGCAGTCAGTGGGAGAGTAGGCAGAGACGACGAAGAGGCAACGACGAGTTTCCCTATCTTTCCGGGTCCTTACTGATCCGTTCAGTCGGACAGCGCATAGACGACTGTCTACTGGGATCCAGTCTAAAAGACATAGTTCTACACTAGGACTTAATGCTATACCTACTACAGCGAGGCCACGGGAAGCAGCATCGGGGCTTCTAGATACACGAAGCGTGTATCGAGATGAAACTTTATTTTGATTAGGTGAGGTCAAATGAATGACACTACTCGGATCTTGTATGCGCGTTTCGGAGACGCAGCACACATCGATGGTGTAAGATTCTAGAGTCCTAGCTAAGGAAGCCTGTTGTCCTATTTGGCACAATGTTCGGACATTAAAAGTTCCTACATGTAGTTTAGAGCGTAGTTTCAGGAGACCAGGAATAACGTTCTGTGTACTCGGTGATAAAAGGACGTGGGAAGGGTTAGTCGTGGAGATAACAGAGTTATTAGGTGTAGGAAGGATTTGAAAGCGACCAACTTGGTATCGTGTGCAGTTAAGGGTATGAGGGCTAGTATCACTTCCCGGATGCCCACACCATGGAAGGGTATTTCTTGAGGGACCTGAAAAAGAAGTTGGATTAGTGTTGGTCTTAACGACCTGGGAGCGTGACCGCAGTGCCCAAAGCAAACAAGAGAGTGAAGAGGAGCATAAGAGCTGACACGCAGAAATGTGTGGAAGAGTTAGCAACGACAGTGGAAAAAGCTGCAAGAGAAAGAAATATGAAATAACCGTATGATACAACGAAAACGCTAGAAGGGAAATATGGTAAATCAGAGCGACTAGTCAGGAACAAAGGCAAGTTAGTCACTCAGATCAGGAACTTTGAAGAACTCATGAATAGAACAGTCCCACTGAACCCACCGAATATCGAAGCAGCGACTACATACATCACAATTCAAATATTCACTAAAGACGTGAAGACAATACTTAAGGCAAAAGGAAAAGGAGCAAGCCAAACAATGCACAAGCCGGGACTAGAGTAAGAATTGATAAGAATGAATAACAACTGGAAACAACTGGGAAGAAGAGATCAGAACAGAGTTGGCTGAAGAATCTTGGTGGGTGGTCTATTTTCTTTCATAAGGTGTAACAGGTGTAACTGAGAACAAACCTACTACCAAAGTTAGATCTCCATTAACGGTTCTACACTAACTTTACATAGTTGTCACATTTCATTAGTAGAGAATTTAAGAATCATCACTTCCGATATTATGGATTGGAACAAGTCATTTGAAAGGAAATAACTAGTTAATTCATTCATCGAGATAATGGTTTAAATATTAAAAAGTTTGATTTTCAGATACTAGTTAGCAGGTTTGATTCTCTTCCCGCCTACATAAGTGTAAGAGTAACTGGGTAGTATCACCAGTATGACGGAAAGCGGAATACATTGATAATTGAACAGTACTGTTGTTATTATCTTTATCACTATCGTTTAGGACTGAAGTATTGTCATTTAGGAATGATGAAATACACCTGAAAAAAAGAAAGAATTAAACTCACGTAAAAATAGAGTATTCTTTCGTTGTAATTCAGCTCTTGTTTGATCTGATTTTAGAATTACTTGTGTTTTATTAGTCATTCTATTATTATTACTTGTTAATTCAACTGAATCATTTAATCCATGAATATTATCTGAATGTGATATTAGAGAGTGAGGAGATGCAGATGAGTTCACTAGTAAACCGGAATGATTTGGAGATACGGAAGTAGTAGTAGTAGTAGTAGTAGTCGTGGTGATAGTAGATGATGCCATTGCAGTGATAGAAACAGAAGTAACAGAGGATATTGAAATAGGAGGAGTAATAGATGAAACTATTGGAGGTATCTGTGGTGGATTAGGTCCAGAACTATTTAAATCAATTAAATGTAAACGAAAACGTTGACCTTCTCGACCTTTACGAGAATGATGTCGATAGACTCCAACACAAACAAATGGTAAAGGAAGATTTTTCACAATTAATAAATCAAAATTCAATAAAGGTGAAGGCATATCAGGAACAAATATCTGTTTATAGAAAAGAAATATAAATAGAAATATTAATAAGCAATAAATGATATGTCCATTTGATTCAATTCATCAACAAAATTTATTATTATAGGAAGTTGTTGAGATTGTTAAATTTTAAAAATCCTTATAAACAATTGAATTCAGCTAGATAACCATTATGAATCATAAAACACTGAGTATCTAGCTACTATGTTCCAGTATAGAAATCTTCGACAGTATTCATTCACAATAAACAAGGGATATAATCCAAGACTTTCAGGTCTCGTAACAAGTAATTACTTAATGATTTTGTTATGATGAGTGATATCCAAGATCTGACATTGAAACACAATGTGCTGCGACCAAAACCCCAAAATGACTATTTGAGCGAGAAGACAAGATTAGAAGAGAAGGTTCATTGGGTCACCGGATATATATATATATATATATATATATATATATATCTTAACTCCGCCTGTAGCTCCTCTGGGGGTTACTGCCGGTCCCAAGCCCGGGTAAAGGAGGAGGGTTGGGCATGGGGTTAGCGACCCCATCCCGTAGAAAATCAACTCGCTAAAAAAACGCTAACCAGAAAAAATCATTCAAACCATTCAAACTCTGCCCTGGGAGTAGAAGGAATAATGACGTCTCATGATAAAAGTCGAGTTCCTTCGGAAGTCATGAGGCCGATGCACCTTCTTACAACCAGAGCGACAATTTTTATAGGTACATGGAATGTCCGAACAATGTGGGAGACCGGAAGAGTCTTCCAAATTGCTGCAGAAATGAGAAAATACAACCTGGAGGTTCTTGGAATCAGCGAAACACATTGGACGCAGGTCGGACAACAACGACTGTCTTCAGGAGAACTTCTGTTATACTCCGGTCATGAAGAAGAAAATGCCCCACATACACAAGGAGTTGCATTGATACTGTCCAGAAAAGCACAAAATGCACTTATAGGATGGGAATCTCATGGACCAAGGATCATCAAAGCCTCCTTCAGAACAAAGAGAGAGGGCATTACAATGAACGTCATCCAATGCAATGCGCCTACCAATGACTACGATGAAGACGCTAAAAACCAATTCTACGATAGGCTGCAGTCGATCGTCGAGAAGTGCCCAAGCAAGGACCTGACAATTCTGATGGGAGATCTCAATGTTAAGGTTGGAATGGATAACACTGGATACGAAGACGTCATGGGACAACATGGACTGGGAGAAAGGAACGAAAATGGTGAGAGATTTGCAAACCTATGTGCCTTCAATAAACTGGTCATAGGTGGCACCATATTCCCACACAAAAACATACACAAAGCCACTTGGATTTCACCGGATCACATTACACAGAATCAAATCGACCATATCTGCATCAACAAAACGTTCAGGAGGACGATGGAGGATGTGAGAACCAGAAGAGGGGCTGATATAGCATCCGATCATCATTTGCTGGTCGCCAAGATGAAACTAAAACTCAAGAAGCACTGGACAACGGCGCGGACAACATCACAAAAGTTTAATACGGCCTTTCTTCGAGATTTTGACAAACTCAACAAATTCAACATAGCCCTCAGCAACAGGTTCGAGGCCTTTTATGATCTACTCAATGGAGAGGGGACTACTATGGAGAGCAACTGGAAAGGTATCAAGGAGGCAATCGTTTCAACATGTCAAGAGGTTCTGGGTTACAAGAAGCATCATCACAAGGAATGGATCACTGTTGGTACACTGGATAAGATTGAAGCAAGGAGGAACAAGAAGGCAGCAATCAATATCAGCCGAACCAGAGCGGAAAAAGCCAAGGCACAAGCCGAATACACAGAGGCAAACAAGCAAGTGAAGAGGAGCATCAGAACCGACAAACGTAAATATGTTGAAGGTTTAGCGATGACAGCGGAAAAGGCTGCAAGAGAGGGAAACATGAGACAACTGTATGATACAACAAAGAAACTTGCTGGAAATTACCGTAAGCCAGAAAGACCAGTGAAAAGCAAGAAACGCAAAGTAATCACCGACATTGAAGAACAACGAAACAGGTGGGTAGAACACTTCAAAGAACTCTTGAATCGACCAGCTCCACTGAACCCACCCAACATCGAAGCAGCACCCACAGACCTCCCAATCGATATTGGCCCACCAACAATCGAAGAGATCAGCATGGCCATTAGACAAGTCAAGAGTGGCAAAGCAGCGGGACCAGACAACATCCCGGCGGAGGCACTGAAAGCAAATGTAACAGCAACTGCCAAGATACTACACATCCTCTTCAGTAAGATTTGGGACGAAGAACAAGTACCAACAGACTGGAAAAAAGGACTTCTGATCAAAATACCAAAGAAAGGTGATCTTAGCAAGTGCGATAACTACAGGGGCATCACTCTTCTCTCAATACCAGGAAAAGTCTTCAACCGAGTATTGTTAAACAGGATGAAGGATTCCGTGGACGCCCAACTTCGAGATCAACAAGCTGGATTTCGTAAGGATAGATCGTGCACAGATCACATCGCAACTCTGCGGATCATTGTGGAACAATCAATCGAATGGAATTCATCACTCCACATCAACTTCATCGACTACGAGAAGGCATTTGATAGCGTGGACAGGACGACACTATGGAGACTTCTTCGACACTACGGTGTGCCTGAGAAGATAGTCAATATCATACGGAACTCCTATGATGGACTAAACTGCCAAATCGTCCACGGAGGACAACTCACCGAGTCGTTTAAAGTAAAGACTGGTGTAAGGCAAGGTTGCTTACTCTCACCCTTTCTCTTTCTCCTGGTCATCGACTGGATCATGAAGACGTCAACATCTGGAGGAAATCACGGGATACAGTGGACAGGCAGGATGCAGCTTGATGATTTAGACTTCGCGGATGATCTGGCTCTTCTATCACAAACGCAACAACAAATGCAGGAGATGACGACCAGTGTAGCCGCAGCCTCAGCAGCAGTAGGTCTCAATATAAACAAAGAGAAAAGCAAGACTCTCCGATACAATACAATATGCACCAATCAAATTACACTTGACGGAGAAGCTTTGGAGGATGTGGAAACCTTTACATATCTGGGAAGCATCATCGATGAACACGGTGGATCAGATGCAGATGTGAGGGCAAGGATCGGCAAAGCAAGAGCATCATATTTACAACTGAAAAACATCTGGAGCTCAAAACAATTGTCAACCAACACCAAGGTTAGAATTTTCAATACAAATGTCAAGACAGTCCTACTGTATGGGGCAGAGACGTGGAGAACTACGAAAGCCACCATCCAGAAGATACAAGTGTTTATTAACAGTTGTCTACGCAAGATACTTCGGATCCGATGGCCAGACACTATCAGCAACAAGTTACTGTGGGAGAGAACAAACCAGATTCCAGCAGAGGAAGAAATCAGGAAGAAGCGCTGGAAGTGGATTGGGCACACCTTGAGGAAATCAGCTAATTGCGTCACAAGACAAGCCCTCACATGGAATCCTGAAGGTCAAAGGAGAAGAGGGAGACCAAAGAACACATTACGCCGAGAAATTGAGACAGACATGAGAAGAATGAACAAGAACTGGATAGAACTAGAAAAGGAAGCCCAGGACAGAGTGGGTTGGAGAAAGCTGGTCGGCGGCCTATGCTCCATTGGGAGTAACAGGCGTAAGTAAGTAAGTAATATATATATCTTAGCCAGCAGTGTGTATTTGTCCTTCAGGTCATTTTCGATTGCCATCAAGTGATCTAATTTACCTATTTCTGATAGGCTCACTATATCAAGTTTAAACTTCTAACTTTAGTTAACATAAACCGGAGTATAGAATGTAAGCAACAATGCCTATCTATAACTAACGAACATACCAAGCTTGATAGACAAAATTTGATAAGCATAAAAGAATACATAGTCAAAAACTAGATATTACTCGATGACCAGTGGATATGAACATCCTAAACCTACAGATAATAAGCTTTCTACCGCAGTGCTAGATGATTTGGATTCAAATCTCTTAGGTACAGCTTTCACGATTCAGAGTTTACATAAAAATGTTTGATGAATTTTAAACGAGATATATTTTTTAATAGTTGAAATCATGAGTCGATTGAGGTTGAACCACCATGGAAAATTTTGAAGCATTGGACGGCTGTTTTGTTCTAGTATGGAACCGCTCAGTAGTGCGCATCCAAAATTACGCTTGTTGGATTCGAACCAAGCGGCTTTGGTCTCGCGTATGAATGTTTAACCTCTAGGCCACTGAACTGATATCTAAAGATGTTAGTATCTAACTTCAACCAATCCACAAAATTGCTCCACCGTTCACCATTGTCTTCAGTGAGTTACTGCCTCACAACAGACCTGGTTGAACTTAACTGGTCAGCTTATCTCTATAAAAAAACCTTAATATTTTATGAATCTTTTTTCAAGTTTTCCGTTGCCAAATTCAAAATTATAGTCACTATGTGAATATATATATATATATACTGCTTAGAACATGTATAGAAATAAGTGAAAATTCAATTTGATAAACCATAACTGGTTCATGAACTTAATATTAAGTTACACTATTTCTGGTGTAAGGGCATCAATGCTTGAAGTGACTAACTTCTAGTCTGATCCATGTTGGAAGATGCAGACTTTGTGGTTGGGGTCCGTGTGACTATCGTAACCATTGGTTGGAGACGCTGAATGACATGGCTCAGAATCGATCACAATGGTGTAGATGTATATACCATTTATGTTCCCTTAAACCTTGAGATTAAAATTGATTCATATCTATCTTTCTTCCTATACTATATCCTTATATACAACCTTTGTTTTATATATTACCACCAATAAATTAACTACTTCTTTGAATTCGGTGTTGATCTTGTTGTGCTAATGAGGTATGACAACTTGGACTGATGCATATATGTGCCTGGTTCTACGTTGTATCTGACTGACTGACTGACAGCTATATTTTTGATTGATTTTGTATAAATTTTATTTTCTATTTTTCATGGTGTGATGAGTTCTGTTTGACTGGTATATAAACAAAGTATGTTTGAAATACATGATTCGCATAATGGAAGCTAGTAATGGTGTTCTGGACTCAACTGGCAGAGCCAGGAGGAAAAAGAACCAAAGAGGACACTAGGTTTCTCATACTGGTCGAACGTCATTGGTTTAGCACAGTGTTAAGTTTGCATAAGTTGTATTTCGATTGGCGAATAAGTCATGTGATAATTATTCATGCTTAAAGTCACAACAATATCTGTTCCAAATAGTCATTATCATAGCTATCATCATTAGCCCCCAAATGCCCTGGTACGGCCGAAAATGGGTAAAGTCAGCTATCCCTCTCCAAATGCTCTCACATGGACACGCGTATATAAACACTGACAGGGAAATCCTACTCAAAACCTTCATATGGCGGGGGTTTAGTTTAAGAAATTGAGAGGACGAAAAGTGAATATCCGGCGCTCTAACCAGGTTGGTGGACACGGAAGTTCCACCTAGGGCAGTTGGAAAACCTTCATTCCAAACCAATCATCCACATGGGCTCCAGTATCCTGACAAGACAAATGGCGTATGAATCAATCGTTGGTCACTGACTACCATGGGATTACATTTTCTTACGATGCTCCACTGCCTTGTGGATTAGACCTTTAGGTCAAAGGTTCGGGGTCTGACCCCGTTAGTTATAAGCATATATATGGGGAAAAAGAATTCTTTTTAAAAAAAAGATAATGAACATACTCTTTTAATTTCAATAAATGATGATACAGGATTAAACCATTCCATTATTATAATTTCATTTGTCATAGCTGCACATAAATATTTAGCACCATTAAATGGATTACGTGTAACATTAGCACGTAAACATCCTTTTGTATCAGGCATTTTTTTCGATGGTGAAAATCGTCTAATTAAATAAATAAATAAAAAAAAAGAAAGATACTAATAGTAAAATAGATTAATGAGAAAAGTATCCAGTTATCAATCAATGGATCAAAGGTTCAAACCATTCTTAACATATCTAAGTTTGGGTAATCCAAAAGGCATCGTTAGCCTTTACAAAATAGTATATTGCTTAAAACTGAGCACTTATATGTGTGATCTATATACAATCACTAATACATGATATTACAATTCTTAAGTACTAATACAATTACTGGGGGGTTGATCCCCCATGACCAAGATACAGAGTAGTGAATATATTAAAAAAATTATACATCTATACAACTCTAACCCAATAATCCAAGGTCAGAAGTTTCAAATGATTCGGAAACAATCTGTTTTTATCTTTTAAAACGTTATTCTAATATAATACAATCATTTTACACCATTTATTATGTAAGCAAAAAACGAAAGCCAAAAAAAAATGGAAAAATAGCGTTCTGGATCTAACTGGCTGAACTAGGCAAAAAGCAGGACTGGTAGATGCTCAAGACTACTAATACGGCTTTTGTGTATCATTGCTCTGATCGATAATTTATTCCTCTCTGATTGGAGAGGATCATCACGTCATATATAAACAGGGCACTCAGGCAATCGAAATAACAGGCGGCCTGATTAAATATCTGGGTTACCTGTTCCTGTCATCTAGATATTTCAACAACTTATCTAATTTTGTTTGTTTTAATATATCATTATGGCTATTAATCACACAACCTATTCAGGTGTGTTTCTGAAAAGTCTACAACTTTTCTCTGTAAATGTAACAAAATGCCTAATCAGAGATATAGTGGTTGCTGGCAATATGTAACGGAAAGAATGTACATTATTTAGATGTCGATTAACTGGGATTATAATTTCTAACTGCCGATCACTCAATATTCATCGTAAGAATCAACCATGAAGTAAGAAACGGAATCTTGTTGAGAATTCTATCTTATACCAAAAATATAATAATAAATACTTATGAATACATATTTTTTTTAAAAAAGATATGGTTTTTTATAGAGTTGAGATCATGAGTCAATTGAAGCTAGACTACCATGGAAAACCTGGAAGCACTGGACGGCCGTTTCGTCCTATTATGGGACTCCTCAGCAGTGCGCGTCCACGAACCCACTCTCGCGGGATTCGAACCCAGGACCTACCAGTTTCGAGCCGAAGCCCTTAACCGATAGACCACTGAGCTGGCATCCAACGGTCTATGCACGGGATTTCCGGCCTGGCAAGCCAAAATGGATATTTGGGTTTATAAAAAAACGACGTGGTACAGTATTATATGAAGTGATGGTCGAAAATACACTAATTATTAGACATGTAAATCAACTGCGAGATAGAAAATGTGTTTATGAGTCATCTAAACTCAAACCATTACCAATGGAAGTATTATGTGATACATTTGATATTCCACCACCACCACCACCACCACCACAAGTTGAAATGAGAAAAAATGATCTAGAATCAGAAGTTAGACGAAGGTCATTCAGGAAACGGAAACAAACGAAATTTTTTCAAATAGACCCCAAAGTGAAATCATACGATCGAACTTCGCGAGGGAGGTGATGTGTGGGCGAGAATGTCAATGATTGGTTGTCTCGATGAGTCAGACATTAGAGGGGATGACAGGTATTATGTGTTATATATATATTTCCCTATCCTTATTATGTATGGACTTATTGACTGTTCCATGTGTCGGATTTTGGTGTGAAATATATTGACGTTATAGTCAGGCTAATATTGTGTTCTTGATCTGAGTTCTGTTGAAGTCCTGTAGAATAGACACTGGGTGGGAATCTAGTGTAGATATTCGTCTAAGATAAATTAACGTCCCACATACGTGTAAGAAGTAAAAGGACTGTTATAACCAAGGTCCCCTAAAGTTATAACCAGCATCCTCTCTCTCTCTCTCATACGTTTATAACAATTGGCGACGGCATACATACGTTTATAACAATTTCATTAACGTATGACGTAATCATTGAATGCAGGTTAATCTGAATTATATACTTAGGGGTTTGTAGATTCGGACAATAACATATTTACTGTGGATTTGAGTGTGGTGGAGAGTGGGAAGAGTTCGCTTTCCCTCTGCAAATGCTATCACATGGCCACACGTATATAGACTCGGCCAGGGAATTCCTGAACACTGCCTTCTCGTGACATTACTGTTGTTTACGAAATTGAGAGGACGAAAAGAGAATGCCTGGCGCTCTAACCGGATTGGTGGACACGATAAGTCCACCTAGGGGAGTTGGAAAACCCTTATTTCAAACCAATCATCCACATGGGCTCCCGTATCCTGACAAGACAAATGGCGTATGAATCAATCGTTGGTCACCGGTTACCATGGGACTGCATCTCCTTAAGATGTTCCACTGCCTTGTAGATCAGATCTTTAGGTTAAAGGCTCTGGGTGTGGTCCCCTAAGAAAACCACCTGCTTCAGTTTGGGCACCTGGGCAGTATCACAACCCTCACACAAATCAAATGAGATTCGTGCGGCGCATATGTATCTGGTGCCCTTTTGTACTAATATTTATGCGTTTAAGTGAATAATAAGAAATTAGTAGATGAACATAAACTTGCCCTACTATGTCCAAAGACAAACGGACATCAATATAAATAATTAATGCAACAGGGAAAGATATAATTCTTGACTACTACTTATCACTCAATTCATACATTTATTCTTCAACCTAAATAGAAAACTAGCGACTATAAAATGTTTAGAAACTTACTTAGGAAAAAGTTTAACAAATTTGCCAAACTTTGATGCAGCTCCACCAAGACCACTAACATTGCCACCGCTAACTCCGCCACTGCCTCCAACTGTACTACCACCACCACTCATAGAATGACCTTGAGATTTTAATTTCATCAAAGAAACCAAATTATGTGCATACAATTGAGGATGACGACCAGATAGTGACATCATAGTATCTCGAGTAACAGATAACCATAAACAACGACGTGGAAATAGCTTAATGAAGAAAAGAAACAAACCAGGAAAAAAAAACTTACAGCGAATGATTATTGAACAATTTTCGAAGATGAAATGAATAGCAGGATTTATTTAAAAGGTTTATAATGAACAATATAATTGTAAACAAAAGAATTATAGTACTAATAAGTGATTTTAATAATTTTAACTCGATATTTCAAGTTATTTATGATGTTAGATAGTGTAGGAGTAGGTTGAAGAAACTCTATAAGTAGATATGTGACTATTTCCCGACCGTTGCTGTCGGGCTCGCCTATCGTGATGAACCAATCGAGTTATATTGGCTGGAACAATCGTTCCTGAAGGTTATACCAAACAAGAAAGGTCGATTGAAGAGCGGTAAAACTAAAAGCAGCAAACCCAAGGTCCGAAGGCGAAGTCGTACTGCTGATTGTACAGAGGTGTGATGGCAGTAAGATGTCTCTTCAGACAACCAGCATAACAGCAATGCTGCCTTCCCACAATGAGGGGTGGGGTTAGAAAAGGCCGACCCTAAAAATGCACACCTCGCCTTATCCCACGGATGTCCGTCTCCGGTGGTAAGGTCTCAACAAATACGGAGCTAACACTAAAACTACCCACAAAAAGTTCGTGTGTGACCGACCTCAAGCAGTTGTCCCTTGGGCACTGCGGTCACGCTCTCAGGTCATTAAGACCACTTCTAATCCAATTTCCCTTTCAGGTACCTCTAAAAGAACCCTTCTACGGTGTGGCCAACCGGGAAGTGATAATTGCCCTCATACCTCTAACAGCACTCAAGATCACTGTATGTGACCATTTAAAACGTTATTGATTTAAGTTTTTTCTCAGTTTCATTTGAATCACGTATACAAAGAAACTGTATAATTACTAGTATTATTTCCCTACTCATCGCATAGTGATCTTATTTCGTATTTGTGATCTATATCAGTGATCACGAAAATTGCTTTCCTTTGAATGAGGATATCCACTTTTGAGGCTCAGAAAAAAATTGAAAGTCCTGGTTTACATTCTTGGTACAATTCAAAGATGTATACTTCTTATGAATCTAACATTAGGACGAAACAACTTTTCAGTATTTTCTGGTTCTTAATGATCATCCCTTACTAAAATCAATCTGTGTTATATAACTAAAGATAAACAGTTGTTAATTTTAACCCTTTCCGAATTCAAATGACCATTTAGGTAGTAAGTATTTAACTATTGGTATTTAATAATTTCATCATATACATAGTTGAAACCATGAGTCAATTGAAGCTAGACCACTATGGAAAACCTGGAAGCACTGCAAGGCCGTTTCGTCCTATTGTGGGACTCATCAGCAGTGAACATCCACGATCCCGCCTCGCGAGCGAGATTCGAACCTAGGACCATCCAGTCTCGCACGCGAGCACTTAACAGACCGTTGATGCGCACTGCTGAGGAGTCTCACAATAGGACGAAACGGCTGTACAGTGCTTCAAGGTTTTCAATAGTGGTCTACCTCCAATTGACCTATGATTTCAATTTGATATATAAAATTACTAAAAATCTCCACAAACAACCCAATTTCATCATATGTTATTAAAGCATAGAAAATCAATCAGATTTTAAATCTTTTCAAAAGGAAAACAATACATCTAGTAAAAGTTATCCTTTTAAAAGAAGCAGATTCACACTATTTACGGTTTTTAGCAATTATGTCAAGTATTCCAATTATTACACAACGTTTTACATTATTGTTAGTCAGATTGTACATATTGAGTTATTCAACTTAGTTTAAGTGACTAATTACCATTATTCGAGAAGAGTATTCATCATTCTGAATGTAGCGAAGTAAATCTAACCAGGATAAGATGGTGCTAGTTCCTCGATAAAACGAAGCAACTTATAAATTATTATTATCAGAAGGGGTTTTGTGGTTAAGTGCTCTGGCGCGAGACCGGTAGGTCCTGGGTTCGAATCCCGCGAGGCGAGGTCGTGGATGCACACTGCTGAGGAGTCCCACAATAGGACAAAACGGCCGTTCAGTGCTTCCAGGTTTTCCTTGGTGGTCTAGCTTTAATTGACTAACGCTTTAAATTATAGATTATTGTCATCCAAAAATATACATAAGAAAACAGGAGTTGTACATTTAATGATCAATTATTAGTTTAAATGTTAACCGCTTGTTGCGAAACCGAAAATCTTGCTTTCATTCCTCAGTGAAGTTATATAGATGAGCATTTTTGAAGAGTAAGATACACGAAAGAAACAGTTCACCTATATTCACTTGGTGTTGTTTACTTGTATCTTCCCATTGTTATTTAAGACTGTAATTGATCAATCTCTTGTTGGCATATATGCATCCTGTGCGGACTGTCTCGATATTGCCTCAAGTCACAAGCTTTATATACAACAATGGATAGTGGAACAGTGGAATCCAGTTTGACGCACATTTCGTCCTATTTGGGACTAATCAACAAATTTATTTTGAACTATAACTAAAGAAGGAGACGGGAGCGTACTCCGTTGGAAAATGATGGAGGTATACGATAGATCACTTGAAATGATTTCAATTTATCAATAATAGGACCACTATTAATTAGATGTGCCAAGATAGAACTGCGTATTATTTTTATTTGACTCTTTCCAAACCATGCTGGTAGATGTTCACTCATTTGTTGGTTAAGTTGCCTAGTAGTACGCCCGATATAGCTATCTCAACAGGAGCAGTTGAACTTATAAATGCACATGGAGGAGGCCAACTCAAGTAACTTATCCTTCGTCTGAGTATACATCACTGGTCGATTCGAGAAAGTCAATGCGAGATAGGCTGCGTAGAAAGTCCTACTAATTACTTTTTTTTAATCTATCTTTCAGAGTATCACTAGCTACATCTCCGTTGAATGGTAATTTCATGTATAAAGGTTTCTTACGTATATTGTTGTCAAATTGTTGATAAATTGAAATCATTTCAAGTGATCTATCATATACCTCCATCATTTTCCAACAGAGTTCGCTCCCGTCTTCTTCATATAGCAGAAGTCATAGGAATTCGTACATTCCATCCCAATTTATGTGTACATAAAATTATCTTTCACAATGTATAATATGGAAGACAAATATCAAATTAATTTGAGCTTACTAATTCTAAAGAATTCTCAGAAAGTCCTTTCAATTGTAAACAATATATACCATCATTTGTACCCAATAGAATAACTTGACCTATATTATGTAAATGAAATATACAATTATAGATAATCATTAGAAAAAAAAGTATTGATATACATCAATTATACTATATCTATCTATCTATTAGGAACAAAATTGTCCATCTTATCAATTATCTTAATATAATGAGTAACTTTGGATAATTTGAATTCATTTGTAAAAGCTTTATTATTAAGATTAATATTTGACAAGTACTGTGGTATGGTCTACTTATATTCAATATAAGTAGTATATGGTGAGGGTCAGATATAGAATGTATTTTAGCAGAAGATCAATAAGGAATGAAGCATAATCGATACAAAAATGAATGAACGATGAAATCAAAGAAGATGAACTGATATTTGCAGAAGGAACAATTAAGATTGAGATCATTGATTGTTATTTTGCAAATTAATTGTTCATTGTATGATTATCAGAATTTAGTGAGATTTGTGTCTAAATACATTCGATTGTCCCAAATTAGTGTTTTACTTACTAAAATACAACGAATGATTATGATTTACTCAAATTAAATCATTCCACACTGTATATCAACAATATTTTACTGGTTATTTATTGTGTTATTCTTAAATGTAACACTATAGACGACTATACAATCCATGAACTGATATTTTACAACTTGATCAGTTGAGATGAATGGGACACGTGTTACATATGCCCAACCACCGACTGCATCGACGTGCAATGTTTTATGATGTAGGAGTAATTTGGAAGAAAGTTAGGGGTGGCCAGACTAAAACGTGGCACAAGTCCATGAAGTCACTGACAATTGGACTGAGCCATGTTGGTAGGTGTAGACTACCTGGTTGGGATTCGTGAGATGGTTGCAACCGATGGTTAGAGACCTTGAATGACATGGATCAAAATCGTTTGCTATGGCGAAGGTGCATCCACTCTTTGTGTTCTGCCAAATTCTAATCTTCTGAATTATTCATGTCTCTATCTTTTTTTTTCTTTCCAAATTTATTTCACTGGATTATACTACTTGAATAATATCTTCAAACCCTAATCTTTCACATAATGCTTATACTCTTACCACTTCTACCACTATGGAATTTGAATGGACAACTTCATCTCTGTGCACATAGTGGTATGGCAACTCGAAATTATGTAAGTATGTACGTACGAAGTTCTACGTTTTGACTGACTGATGTTTGAAGTTTTTAGGGAACTGATGCTTTCTGTGATTTTTTCATATCATATAGTTAGAGTTCAATTGTGATAATCACAAACAGCAGTCTAACTAAATGTAACAATTAATTGGTAGTTTTCTCGATATGCTATTAACAGAGATATATTCATTTTAGTAAATTATGATCTTAAAGTTTATTAATAGCAATGAAATACACACTGTATCATGCATCATAGTATTAATGATAATCGATCAATATATGAGTTTAACGATAGTGTAATGGTTAATTCTATGATTTGTTTCATAACAGACTGATTAAAAAAACGCTATAAGCTCTAATTTCTAAGGTAAGCGCTCCATGGAACAACAACTTCATTAGGGATGATCAAAAACATAAAGAAGGATGTGTCGCTCAATTTCGTGGAAGTTGAAGTTAGATATTAACACCGTTGGATGCCGGCTCAATGGTCTAGTGGTTAAGCACTCGGAATTGATAGGTCCTGGGTTTGAATCTCGTGAGGCGAGATCGTGGATGTGCACTGCTGACGAGTCCCATAATAGGACGAAACGGACGTCTAGTGATTCCAGGTTTTTCATGGTGGTCTAGTTTCAACTGATTCATGATCTCAACTATTAAAATTACATAAAGAAGTATTCAAAACTATAGCCGAAGATCAATAACCTGAAAAAAACAACCCAAGAATCTACAAAACAACACCTAAGTTCGACAGATGGTGTAAAAAAACCCACTTAGACAAAGATGGTAGTTGAAACAAGATAATGAAAATGCATGAAATGGTTACAAAGTCATTGATTTACATAGTTCAAAATATTGAATTCTATGATAAACCAGACTGATTATATACCCTCATAACATTATACTCATAATAAAGCTTTCTCTCATTCTCTTTGTATATAGATATCATATTTCATATGGCATATTATGGCAACTTGGACCGATGCATAAATGTGCCTGGTCCTACGTTGTATCTGACTGACTGACCATAAATAAATGGTCTTTCCTTTTATTAAATAGTTAATTCAATGGAATATACTCATTAAGATATAAAATAAGAAAGATTGATTCAGTGAAGAGTTCTGTATTCGGTGAATTCATTCAAAAGAGCTGTACAATCACAAATATATGGTACTTATTGTTTCAAGATGACAACAACAGTGATCAAGAAAGCTAATAAAAGTTTTATTCACTTGGTGTTGTATACTCGTATCTTCCCATTGCACAAGCAGATGGCTATCTAGACTAAGTAACTAAGTGCATAACGCGATGGCGTTTGAAGCGAAAGGTACCGGACTCGAGTACCTGAGTGAACATGAACTCTGAGATGCAGGTACATCCAGCAGACACCGGTACCAAATAGGACGAAACACACGTCCTGGATTCTACTGCTAGCAACTATCCATTTTAGCTTAATAATAGTTTTATTATTAAAGTCTTGAACATTTATCATGAAGATAAGTAGAGAAATTATAATTGGGAAGGAATAGCTCAGCATGATAACGTAAAAGGTTGACAATGAAATGAAATCGAATCAGGAGGATTATAGAAACAGAAATAAATCAATTGAGGGTAAAAAGGTCTATAGAGAAGATAGAAGAAGCAGATATCTGTGAAGGAAGAGAGAAAATGATGAGACATTGGGACCGCAGAAGAAGAGGTTGTGTCAATTTCTTTTGGACACATGCGATACACCATTCTACTTCACTGTTACCGCGTTCAACAGTTCACTATTATTGTAATTATTGTCATCTTGAAAAAATGAGCATACATATTTGTGATTGTACAGCTTTATAAATGAACACGGCCATTAAGAGTGGAAGATACTCGTAAGTTACTAGTATTTGACCACAGATGTCCTACAAATATTGCTTGCATCTGCTGGGATCACCGGGTAAGTAATAGTGAGGTTACATACAGAGTATTAGGGAATAGTGGTAAATCAGTTGATGAGGTCATGAATCTTCATCGACTGACATGGTTGGGTCACATGTTACGTATGCCTGAACACCGATTACCAAGACACACTATGATGACTAGTGTAGGAGATGGTTAGAAGAGAGTTAGGAGCGGCCAAACCAAAACGTGACATCAGAGTTTGAAGTCACTAACTTCTAGTCTGAGCCATGTTGGTAGACGCAGACTACGTGGTTGGGGTCCTCGTGACTATCGTAACTAATGGTTGGAGACTGTGTGTAACATGGATCAGAATCGATCACAATGGTGTAGGTGTATACACTCTTTATTTACCCTTAAACCGTGAGATTGAAATTCCTTCATATCTGTCTTCCTTCCTGTAGTATATTCTTATATACAATCTTTCTTTTATATATTACCACCACTAAATTAACTACTTCAATGAATTCGGTGTTCATCTTGTTGTGCTAATGAGTGAGGTATGGCAACTTGGACCGATGCATAAGTGTGCCTGGTCCTACGTTGTATCTGACTGACTGACCATAAATGAATTCGTCGAATAGAGTATACTCTTTGTTGAATCAAATATTTAGTTTTTTTTTCAAAATGATTATTACCATTATTAGCTGGATTAATCCATGTTGCAGTTGAATTAATTTTTAATGGACAACCTTGAAATACTAATGAAAAACAAGCTCCCATCTGAAAAAAAAATTAAAAAAAAAAGTAATAAACACATTAATAATCATGAAAAGAGATGATGTAATGCAGTTGTCTACATATGAACTTTATCGATTTCTTATAAATGAGTGATTGCCTCCAAATGCCCTGGTACGGCCGAGAGTCCGCTCTGCATGTCTGTACTAATATGTTATGGTAACTCGAACTGATGTACGAACGTACGAAGTTCTACGTTGTGACCGACCGATATATGTATCTATTCTCACACCAACTGTTCTGGTACGGCTGAGAGTGGGGAGAGACCGCTCTCTCTCTCCACATGCTCTCATATGGCCACACCTAGATAGCCTCTGACAGGGAAGTCCTACTCACTGCCTTCTCGTAGCATTACTCTTGTTTAAGAAATTGAGAAAACGAAAAGCGAATGTCCGGCGCTTTAACCGGGTTGGTGGATGTGGAAGATCCAACTAGGGGAGTTGGAAAACCCTCATTCCAAACTAATGGTGCACATGGGCTCCAGTATCCTGAAGGAACGAATGGCGTATGAATCAGACGTCGGTCACCGACTACCATAGGACAACATTTCTTCACGATGCTCCACTGCCTTGTGGATCAGATCTTTAGGTCAAAGGCTCTGGGTGTGGCCCCCTAAGAAAACCACCTGCTTCAGTTTGGGCACCAGGGCAGTATCATCATAGCCCTCACACAAATCGAATGTGGCGCATATATATTTGGTGCTTCCTTGTACCAATATGTATGTGTTTAAATAGATAAATGATTAATTTAGATCGATTGATTAACTGTGAAAGTGAAGGATATGAGTAGTCTAAAGACTTTTGATTATGGATTCCATCGAAGCATTGTTCACGATATCCTAACTTGGGACAGTAGACATCTATGCTAACATCTAAGTTGATGGTGCTGGATTGACTGATTCAACCTAATTTGTCAAGGCAATTGAAAGCCAGGAATCCTAACCGCTAGAATGAAATGATGAACTCTGTTGACGATTCTATTCCTGCTCATATTATAAGCAAGACAATTTACATTATTATTATTATTATTATTATTATTATTATTATTATTATTATTATTATTATTATTATTATTATTACTTACAATATCGCTAATTCACCCCCTTTTATCCCCAATTTGTGTAACCCTCCTTTTCAACTTATGCAGCAGCTCGCCCATGGTGGAAAACCTGTCTTATCTAAACGATCTCCAGTCACTGTCTGGTTGAAAGTGAATGCTTCCACCGATTATGAATACTGAAGCAGTCTTTCTGAAACCACGTACGCCGTTCAAGCTGGCTTCCTTCAACGTTCGCACACTAATGCAGATCAGACAACAGATAGGGCTGGCTATGTCTTTGGAAGGTCTTAATGTTGACGTTTGCTGTCTATCCGAGACCCGTATTCAAGACTCTAGTGAAGTACTACAAATCCGCTCTCCATCTGTCGCCTCGAAAAGCTTGTTCCACGTGCGCTTATCCGGGGACTCTGTGGCATCTTCGTCTGGTCTTGCAGGCGTTGGTGTTGCACTAAGCGCTAGGGCTGAGGCAGCACTAATCGATTGGATCCCCATTAACAGTCGGTTATGTGCTGTTAGATTAGAAAGTTCCATCAAAGTGAGAAGAAATCGGAGTGAGAAACGGTGTCTTTTCGTCATCTCCGCCTATGCCCCGACAGATTGCAGCCCGGATGCAATCAAGGATGAGTTTTACCATCAGTTAACAGTTCTTCTCCAGAAAGCGCGTTCGACAGATATTGTAGTACTAGCCGGAGACTTGAATGCACAGGTCGGGAGTCTAGGCACAGAAGACAGTCGTCTAGGTGGCCGATGGGGACTTGTTGGTCGCAGGACAGATAACGGGGACCGTTTGCTGCAACTGTGCACAGACCACAACCTGTTTCTGGCCAGCACCAACTTCCGGCACAGTCATCGCCGGTGTGCCACCTGGCGTCCTCCCTCTGCATCCCAAGCCTGGACTCAGATTGATCACATCGCGATCAGCTACCGCTGGCGTGGTTGTGCACAAGACTGCCGCTCCTTTTGGAGTACCTATCTGGAGTCTGATCGTGCCCTGGTATGCGCCAATCTCACCTTACTTTTCAGTGGCCGAAGGATTGACCACCACCAACGGATTGATATTAGTAAACTGGCTGCAACTCCTGTTGCAAGTAAGTATCGAGCGGAGCTAGCCTCTAGGCTAGCTACCATCCCACCGAAAAGTATAGATGAGCATTGGTTGCATCTTCACGACGCCATGAAAATGGCGGGTAAAGCCGCTTGCGGCTTCGCGAAACGTCTCGCTTACAAGCACTGGGTCTCTTCTGGCTCCTTACAACTGATCGAAGCCCGTCGGTCTACTCCGAGTGACCGTGAGTTTGACCACAAACGAAGGCTGTTACGTAATGAAATTGGGCAAAGCTTGCGTAAGGACCGAGAAGCCTGGTGGTCGGAGCGTGCTAATGAGATGGAAGCAGCAGCTGCATCTGGTAACTGCCGGAAGCTCTTCCAACTCATCCGAGCCACTGGCAGCAAGAAGTCTGGTGTGAGTGAAACAATCTACGAGGATGATGGGATGCCAATCACTAACATCTGTCGACGTCTTGGACGATGGGCGGAATTTTTCGAAGGGCAGTTCAACTGGCCTGCTGCTCCGGCAACATCAACCAGCTTGTCCTGCTCCCCATGGCCGGTGACGACTGATCCACCAAACGAGGCGGAAGTCCGCAAGGAACTCCAACTCTTGAAACGTTACAAATCACCTGGCCCAGATGACTTACCTCCGGCTCTTTTTAAAGATGGTGGTGACTTTCTGGCTAAGGAACTGACTGTGTTGTTTGGAAAGGTTTAGGAGCAAGAAAGTGTTCCAACATCATGGAATGAGTCAATAGTCGTCCCTATCTTTAAAAAGGGTTCACGTTGTTCCTGCAATAACTACCGGGGGATAAGTCTACTTTCGATTGCGTCCAAACTATTGGCTTCTATCATTCTTCGTAGGTTGTTTAAAACCCGAGAACGATTGACTCGCGAGGAGCAGGCTGGTTTTCGTTCTGGTCGAGGATGCATTGATCACATCTTCACCCTCCGCCAAATGTTAGAACACCGTCATACTTATCGCAGGCCAACAATCGTAGTGTTTCTTGATATCAGGGCGGCCTTCGATTCGTTGGACAGGACTGTTCTCTGGGATTGTCTATTGAAGAAGAGTGTGCCTGAGAAGTTCATTAACATCTTAAAGGCCCTGTATACGAACACCTCAGGCAGAGTGAGGGCATACAACCACCTTTCTCCCTTGTTCCATTCGAGCAGTGGGGTTAGGCAGGGTTGCCCGATCTCACCATTCCTCTTCAACTTTGCCATCGACGACATCCTAGAAACAGCTCTGGTGGATGTAAGTAATGGCGGTGTGGATCTGCTGCCTGGAGAACGACTTCTCGACCTTGAGTATGCGGATGATATTGTCTTACTGTGCGATAATGCTCAAGGCATGCAATCAGCACTTAATCAGTTGGCAATCAGTGTCCGCAGGTACGGCATGTGCTTTGCACCCTCCAAGTGCAAAGTACTTCTACAAGACTGGCAGGATTCTAATCCTGCACTCACCCTGGATGGTGAGCAGATCGAATTAGTTGAGAAGTTCGTGTATCTAGGTAGCTATATAAGTGCTGGTGGTGGCGTGAGTGATGAGATTGATGCACGTATAAGGAAAGCCAGAGCGGTTTATGCCAATCTGGGCCATCTTTGGCGCCTTCGTGATGTTAGTCTGGCTGTAAAAAGTCGGATTTACAACGCGTCGGTGAGAGCAGTTTTGCTCTATGCTTGTGAAACCTGGCCTCTCCGAGTTGAGGATGTTAGACGTCTCTCTGTGTTCGATCATCGTTGTCTCCGAAGGATTGCTGACATCCAGTGGCAACACCATGTTAGTAATGCAGAGGTTCGGCATCGTGTGTTCGGGCACAGAGACGATAATTTAATTGGTGTCACCATCTTGAAACACCGACTTCGGTGGCTTGGACATGTTTTACGAATGTCGTCCCAGAGACTTCCACGTCGTGCATTATTTGCCGACTCTGGGACTGGTTGGAAAAAGCGGAGAGGAGGTCAGTGTATGACATGGTGTCGTGGCATGAAAGAGAGCTGCAAAGGGCTAGCTTCTGTTGGTCCTTCACGACTCCCCGGTTGGGGTCCGAGAGATGGTGCAACACAGTGGCTAGAGACGTTATCAGATATGGCTCAGAATAGAAGCCAATGGCGATCCTGCTGTAACCTTTTACTTTCTACATAAAGTATGGTTCTTACTTTCCTATTTGAAAGAGTCTTCTGGTTGTACATTTTAGTCCGCCTTATCTTTTCATCCCTTCTCTTCCTACTTTCATTATTTTGTGTGGCGCATATGTACCTGGTGCCCTTTTGTACCAATATATATGTGTTTAAATAAATAAATAAATAAATAAATAAGGCAATTGATGATTGTTTCGATCAGTTATATTTCGTATTCACACGCTTAAATTTGAATAACTGAAGAAAAGTTTGGAGATAATGGTGAATAAGACTAGGGAGTTAGCAACAGAACCTGGGAAACATGTTCCAACAAATTTGGGATTTATCAGCTTGATGCATTTAAACCCCAGCAGTGATGTTCACATTGTAACTGATCAAATATAGTTCTGAATATCAATAACAAAAAACTCAAATTCCTATATATAAATGTATTAGGAATGGTAGCCCAATGATTGGAAAATCTGAGAAAACTAAGACACCACCATCACGGACTCAAACTCCAGATACATGTCTGTCTATTACAGACTAAAAGTATCACTATTCATTGAAGAAATACAATGTAACTTGAAGCCAAGTAAATGAATTAGTTCTTGTTTAGAATGTTGTAATAACCAAAACCTCTATTGACTTTTGGTCTAGTTAAATAGTTAATAAGAAAAATGTCAGATTTCTGAAGTAATTCATTGTCACATTATCCGAGGGGGCCACACCCTGAGCCTTTGACCTAAATATCTAACCCGCAAGACAGTGGAGCAACGTCAGGAGATGCATTCTCATGGTAGTTAGTGACCAACAATAGGTTCATAAGCCATTTGTTCCCTTAGGATCCAGGAGCCCATGTACACCAATGGTTTGGAATGTGAGTTTTCCAACTCCTCTAGATGGACTCTCCATATCCACCAACCCGGTTAAAGTGCCAGGCATTTAATTTTCGTCCTCTTAGTTTCGTAAACAACAGTAATGCCACGAGAAGACAGTGAGTAGGACTTTCCTGGTAATTGTTGTATACACGTGGCTATATGAGAGCATTTCGAGAGAGAGAGCTGACTCTCTCCACCCTCAACCGCACCAGGGCATTTGGGGGCCAACAATCTAGTTACAATTAATAATCTCATAAATGTTTTATGGTCCAGAATGAAGTACTTGGAAACCCCCAGACAAATATTACACAATAATAAATTTCGAAAGAGCTACAACTGAAAGTTGTCAGCACATCATATGTTGGATGGACTGGTTAATCTAAAGTCAATTATACGTTAAATGAAGTTTTTCTTTTTCTTTATTTTAATTCAGACAATAATGTATATGACTTTGATTAATTGATTTGTTGGTCTCATCTCTGATTATCCACAAGAGCCACCAACTCTGACATTATGCTAACAGTCGTTGAAGTAAATTTGGAAAGATCATCAGCAACTGATGCAGTTTCAGATTGAATAGAATCTAGTCAATATTATTATTTACGGAATGTATGAAACAATTTTACTATTATAAACTTTTGTAGAGATTTCCGACTTTGAAGTTCTACTTCACAAACTAACCGGAAAAAATCAGGAAGCACTCGAAAGCTACTTCATTCTTATTTGAGGCACTTAATTAGTGTGCACCCATCGGATAGAAACTCAATGGTGTGAAGATTAGTCTTTTTTCGTAAAATATTAGCGTACATCGTGGGATCATGAATGTACACTATAAGAAGACTTACTCTAGGTCAAAGCTTCTATATAGTGTTACCGGGATCCCAACGGTTGTCTACAGCTAAACCGTGATGTAAAAAAGTATAATACTAAATTTATTTCTCGATATAGTACAGTTGCACATGCTAAGGACCGGAACGAAACCCCTAATTGAACAAGTTAGCTGTGCCATGGATTTAATGCCAGATGAAAATCTGTAGCTTAAAGCTTAATAATGAGAAATGATTAATAACCATTGGTAAAACGATATATAAAGTAAATTCTTACATTTCCTTGTGGTTTAGATTGTGGTGTTGGAGAAGTCAGCGAAGCGAGAGGTGGAGGAATCGATGACAGTATTTGACCTGGATGGGATGCATCCTTATTAGGACAGCTTATTAATTCAATCATAGATGAACGTGATTTTTTCGTCTCATTTGTGTTAACAGGATTTACAACAGAAGAAATTAAAGCGGGAGAAGTGGCAATTTTCGAAATTGTAGTAGTGATCGTAGCACTATTAGTGAGAACAGACGAAGTAACAGTAGGGGCAGCTACACGTCTATGCAGTTTCACTGATGAAACAAGTGGTAAGTCTTTTGAGAAGTTGCCATTGTGGGATCGATTATTAATATTAATATTACCGTTTAAGTTACCACTCAATTCTATGCTGGAAACCATTTTTAAATGCGGTTGCAATGCCAGAGGTTGATTTGAAAGCAGATATGATGTCGATGCAGTAGTTCTCATGATTTCTGTATTTGTGATTGGTGATGTTAAAGTTGACGGTGGAATAACACTGCTAACTGTTTTCTGATAATTATTAGTGCATATCTCTTGATCGTCTCTTTTCGGTAAAGAAGTTGTCACAAGTGATGTCGATGATGGAAATGGATGAATATCTGAACAAGGTGATAAACTAGACCGATAAAATAATTTTTTTCTATTCGTATTCTTTTCTTTTCTCTGAGGTATTAATTGTAATGATCCACCAATGTGAGATTTCCCTTGATTTGATAAATTACTATAAACAATATCGTCTACTTCTATATCATCACTGTCAATTGGATGAATATCAGTAGATATTGATATTTGTGTTGGTTTTGTCAACAAACCAATAGTAGGTGAAGTAGTCGTGGTAATATTACTACTACTACTGATAGGATAAGTAATATGTGTGCCCGTGGTAGTCGTACACTTTGTTGTTAATACTACATCCGAAGGATATGTAGTGATTGTGCTCGATGGTAGAGATGTGTAATTCTTAACAGAAGCAATATCTTGTTTCTCCAATGAGGATAGTTTAGTCTATTAATAAAAATAGTCAGAAAATAAAAAATTAATCATGAAATGATAATCGAATATCCATTTGATCAATCAAAAAAATTAATTAATGTATATATATTTTTATATATGGTTGAAATCATAAGTCAATTGAAGCTAAACCGCCAGGGAAAACCTGGAATCACAGGACGGCTGTTTCGTCTTATTGTGGGACTCATCAGCATTACGCATCCACGATCCCGCCCAGCGGGATTCGAGCCCAGGACCTACCAGTCTCGCGCCAGAGCCCTTAACCGATAGAAATGTAGATATAATTGATAGATTTTTATGCAAATGTAGAAGGTCGATTGATGAGCAAGTGATTCTTCATCAAACTAAGGTGGTTGGGATACGTGTTAAATATCTCTAACTATAGCCCCCTCTATATATATCAACGAATGATTTATGTAGATATGAAAGTTACAAGAAAGCTAGATACGATGAAACCAAAATGTTTCATTAGTTAATATATTCACTGAATGTTGGTGGACAGAACCTTGTTGTTCGATATAGGACTTCGTGGTCGGAATACTCATGAGAATCGTGATCAGTGGTTAGTGACCATGAATGATATCATCATGTGTATGTATATATTGTTTCATTGCCTTTTTGAATGATACTATCAATGCTTAATCTTTCTTATTATCTTCATAATTGAAGAGTTAAGGAGTCCCACAATAGGACGAAACAGTCATCCAGTACTTCCAGGTTTTCTTTGGTGGTCTAGCTTCAATTGACTCATGATTTCAACTATGAAAATACTGAAATCTCCACAAAACCCCTTTCTGATTTCTTATTATCATTGATGTTACATCATTATATAGATTTTCGTCTTATTCATTATTCGGGGTCATATTAGTATAGTATTGGAATCTTAAGCAATGTATATATGTGTGTCAGGTTATACAATGATGATTACGAATTGACAAACGAAAAAAATAACTACACTATTCTTCAATCTTCTCTTTGATTTCCATTAATAGGCTTGTGTAAATTGATTTCTTTTGGCATAGTAACAGAAAAAAAAACCTAAACTTGTGTAAATGCATCATTCATACATTCGGAACAACATACCTAAAGAGAATTAATTCCGACTTATTTCTAGTCATGATGTAGGGTGACTTCATTTGTATAATTAACAATAAACAATATACTCTCATTTATCTTGACTATTTAGTGGATCACAAATTTCAGGTCAAGGCTCCATGTGATGAAATTGATTTATACATAGACATGTAATAATAATAATAATAATAATAATAATAATAATAATAATAATAATAATGTTTCATGTAAGCCTTATTTAATGCATGGAAACTAAACAACAAAGGTGGAATTGATCTCGAACCTGTTACCAAGTGGTTAATATTGAGATGCTTTGGTCAGTAGGCACCTACTCCTATGTATTTGATTCAGCAATTATCTAGAGATTCGTAAATTAGGCTCTAATTCATAATTTGCAAACTATTCATACTGGAATCTAGCTGTTTAGATAGAAGTCTCTGGACCGGAGAGTGTTGTATCCCGTGGAGAATTAAGAGTAGTAACTGTTGAGAATTATTTATGGATCAATATAATAAATATGTTTCCTATTGTAGAATTGCTAAGTAACTTAACTATTCATATCCGAGTCTCTCTTATTATAAGCTTTGTTTTGACCTGTGAATTACTATTATACAATATACCATTCCTGAGTTATACCCAGTCTATTAATTACTGTCCCCCCCTATTCACAGACGCATTTGGCCAACTCTTGTACATATATTATTTTCAATTTTATGGTACGATGAGATCAGTTTGTTTGATATATAAACACAGTACGTTTGAGAATAATGACTCATATTGCAGAGGCTATTATTGGTGTTCTGGACTTAACTAGCTGGGCTAGGCAGAAAGCAGGACTGATAGATGCTCAAGACTGCTCGTACGGTTTTCGTGTACCATTGCTCTGATCGATAATTCACTCCTCTCTGATCGGCGGGAATCATCATGTTCTCATATATTAACAGAGAAACGTACTCAATCGATATAACAGAGAGATTCAGCCTAACACCTCACTTTAAAGAGCAAATCATAGCAAAATATTACTTGAAAAACCTACCATTTGAACATGACTTTCTGATTTCGTTCTGTCGTTATTATTATTATTATCATCAATCGTAGAGATAATATTAAAATTAGCTGGTACAAAAGAAGATGACACTGGAGTAGATGGTAATGAACTAGATACTTGTACATAATCTTTCATATTCATCATCATTATTGTCCGATGATTATCTGTTGTAATAGTTGGTGCAGAAGGTGTATTACTAACAACAGGAGAATGTGGTTGAATAGCACTATTATTATTAAGACTACAAACGGTAGTTGTAGGAACAAGAGTAGGTATACCCATTGTAGGCTTGGTAGATAAACTAATATTATCCGGTTTATAAGTAGTAGATATGGTTTCCAGATTTATTTTCATCTCAGATTTCATTGATGAATCACTATCTGATCTTGATTTATCTTTCATAAATAGTGGTAATTCACTACCACCATCAAAACCATTATTAATCTATAGAGAAAAGAATTCGGGAATTTTTTTTAATAAACAACATTGAATGAAGAAAGCCATTTATCAATGAATATCAATGTCAAATAGTTGGCGGTAGTCAACAGGAAATGTTATATCTAGGTATTGTGTGCTAGTTGGTATAGGTCAGAAAGGTGTACTTCAAACCTAGATGAAACTGACGCTCCCTTTGGTATTCAAACATGCATCAATTAATTACAGTTTAAGAGGTTATCACTAATCTCATTGAACTACGACTGATCCCTCGTAGGATTGAACTGTTATCATTAATTTATCAGTTAGAAGTGATCTAGGTTATGTTTGTGCAGTCTTTCAGCGTGGGTTAGATGTTACTAATTAGTGGAGACACCTCAATCTTACAAGAAGTCAGTCGTGGTCTGAAAGACAGTCTGAAAATCGAAAGATGAGTGATGTGGGTTCGAGTCCGGCCATATAAATAATATACTAATATGGTACACGAGAGGTCAAATCATTCAGACTAATATTTACATTACGATATGATTGACAGAATTCGATCAGCACTAAAGAGCTACATAAAAATGACATTAGTAGCTACTAACTCAGTGAGAAAACAATGGACGTAACTGAGATATTGGTCAAATTAAAAACAGATTACATATGACTGTTTCAATTAGTTCAAAGTAATTTATTCTTCTTACTCAGAGTATCTAATTAAAGAATTATTTGATTATCAAGTCTAACAAGACCTAACATGGAACTTCTCAGCAGGCCACAATCAAACCTACCTGAAATCAGAACAAGAGTTTTTGGGATTCACGGCGAACGCCACAAGTAACAATGGATTTCAAGAGTCAATCAAGTTTCCTGAGTCAATCCAGCTAAACAACAAGTCACCAGGACTGATAAGACTTTCAAGATAAGTGAAGTGATCAACGCATCCAACTGCTTCACTCTATAATTTGTCTGGGTGTTGATGCAGACCAGTCCTAAATTAACATTTTACATCTAGGTAGGGAGAAACAGATCTCAAGCAAACGTGTAGTTACTCAAGGTATTCAAGTAACTGTATCGTCGGCGTCCTCAACCAATTAGACTATGTTATCTGAGCACTTCATATTTCTGATGAAGTTCTGTTCTCTGAGCTGTATAGTTAGGTAGAAGTTTGCGCTGAAGTTGTCATTCAGAATAACGATGAGTTCTTCACGACGAAACCATCCATCTCAAAGAACAAAACTCCGTCAAAATCATCTATCTAAGCTGCAAATGTTCTCCACTTTATGTTTATAAGTGAGTTTTCTAAAATCAATCCCTGAAACGCTATATGAATCAATTATGATATTGTTATGTCCTGATAAGAATAGTGAATGGTAACTTTGAGGACTATTTATGAACCAATACTGTGCATATATTTTTATCGTATAATTGTTAACTAACTTTTATTAATTATTTATTTAAACACATAAATATTAGTACAAAGCGACACCAGATAAATATGCACCTCACAAATCTCATTTGATTTGTGTGAGGGCTGCCCAGGTGCCCAAACTGAAGCAGGTGGTTTTCTTAAGGGGCCACACCCAGAGCCTTTGACCTGAAGATCTGATCCACAAGGAAGTGGAGCATCGTACGAAGATGCATTTGCATGGTAGCCGATTACCAATGATTGATTCATACGCCATTTGTTCCCCTGGGTACTAGATCCCATGTGCACCATTGGTTTGGAATGAGAGTTTTCCAACTCTCCTAGATGGACATTTCGTGTCCACTAACCCGGTTAAAGCGCCGGACATTCGCACCTTCTCACTCTCGGCCGTACCAGGGAATTTGGGGTCGTTAACTTACTAAACTATTCATATTCGTGACCCCCTTATTATAAGCTTTATTTTGACTTATGAACTATTATTATACCATCTCCTTTATCCACAGGCACATTTGCCTGAATCTTGTACAAATGTTATTTTCTATTTTATGGTACGATGTGGTCTGTTTCATTGGTATATAAACTGAGTAGGTTTGAAATACAATAACTCATATAGCAGAGGCTGTTATTGGTGTTCTGGACTTAGCTGGCTGGGCTAGGCAGAAAGCAAGACCGAAAAGTACTCTACACTACTCGTACGGTTTTCGTGTGTCATTGATCCGATCGATAATTCGCTACTCTCTAATTGGCGGTATTACCACTTTATACATTAACAGGGATATTGTTCAAATATGACAAACATCAATTGGAAATCACCTTATAAATTCATCAATTTCAGAACACCTAATAATTTTAATGTTAAAGTAGATATAATTACAGTTTACACAAAACAAAACACACACACACATTTCCAAACCATTTTACATTCATATACAGTTAAATCATGAGTCAATTAAAGCTAGATCACCATGCAAAACCTGGATGGCTGTTTCGTCCTATTATGGGACTTCTCAGCAGTTTGCATCCACGATCCCACCTCGCGAACGAGATTCGAACCCAGGACCTACTACTCTCACGCCAGAACACATTCAACCAAATTCCAAAAAAAAGAAATTAACATTAAGTTAGATATATAAAAAAAATAACAACTTACTTGACCATTTATAATAATATCTGTTGTATTGAATACATGTCCATTTTGTTCTTGTTTAATAAATGAATGATCAATTATACCATCCTTGATACTATGATCAATGTTACCATCATTTTGGGTATCATTCAATTTTTCATTAATCTTATTCAAAGTTGAATCATCACCATTAAGTACAATTGAATAATCCTCTAAATGGTTATGTTTCAACAGTGTAATTCCTTGATTATTCAACTTTTTATCTTGATCATCTTCATCTTCATGATCGTGAGAAGTAGTAACAATAGTAGAATCCATAGTAACATCCAATTTCATTAATTCCTTCTGATCATCATCATCATCAATTCGATCTTGTTTAATAGTTTTAATAGTAGAAGAGATTTTCATAACATTCAATGTATCAATGTTTGTATACTTTTCATTGATTATTCCATTAGTTAAAGATTGACCATTATGATTGAGATCATCATTATTATTATTAATTAATTTATTGGATTGAATATTAGTTAATGCAGATAATCCTGTTGGAAGTACAGAAGCTCTAAATGAATAATAATAGTAAAAAGAAAGTAAAAATATGATCAAAATGATTAGATCTATAGAAGAATATTCAATGATTGAATTCAGGTTCTCTGTTGAAAAGATAATATTATCAAAAGGAGGTTTTGTGGAGATTTCAGTAGTTTCATAGTTAAAAGCATGAGTCAATTGAAGCTAGACCACCAAGGTAAACCTGGATGTGTACTGCAGAACAATCTCACAATAGGACGAAATGGACGTCCAGTGCTTCCAGGTTTTCCTTGGTGATCTAGATTCAATTGACTCATGCTTTCAACTATGAAATGATAATAGTCATTATTTAAAATTACTAAACTTTAATTCGAATATAATCATTGATATTATAATGATGATATAAAGTAGAATAGAAACATTATAACAACATAGACATAGGAACAATAACGGGGAGGATTTGTATGCATATAGCAAACAATTCTCTTTGAACTCAGCATACAACAATACCGTCATGCACTGTCCCATCGCCCTTGGCAGATCAAGCAACCCAAAAGTCACGAGAACACCATCAGGGCAAACGACAGGCCAGGTACACCAACACAGACATAGCAAAGTCTATATATTCAAAAAAGAACAAATTACTTCGTCCAAACAAAGTTATTGACTAAATTTTTTAATGATAAATTACATATTATTATCAGAAGGGGTTTTGTGGAGATTTTAGTATTTTATAGAGTTGAGATCATGAGTCAATTGAAGCTAGACTACCATGGAAAACCTGGAAGCACTGGACGGCCGTTTCGTCCTATTATGGGACTCCTCAGCAGTGCGCGTCCACGAACCCAGGTCTGTTGTGAGATAGGAACTCACTGATGACATTGGTGAATGGTTGCTCAATTTCGTGAATCAGTTGAAGTTAGAAATTAACACCGTTGGATGCCAGCTCAGTGGTCTATCGGTTAAGGGCTTCGGCTCGAAACTGGTAGGTCCTGGGTTCGAATCCCGCGAGAGTGGGTTCGTGGACGCGCACTGCTGAGGAGTCCCATAATAGGACGAAACGGCCGTCCAGTGCTTCCAGGTTTTCCATGGTAGTCTAGCTTCAATTGACTCATGATCTCAACTCTATAAAATACTAAAATCTCCACAAAACCCCTTCTGATAATAATCAGGTGCTCACTAGTGACTGACTCCTTGAGGTATTTCCTGGAGTTCTAGTGAGAAGCAGTAACCGGTGGAGTTCAACCAGGTCTGTTGTGAGATAGGAACTCACTGATGACATTGGTGAATGGTTGCTCAATTTCGTGAATCAGTTGAAGTTAGAAATTAACACCGTTGGATGCCAGCTCAGTGGTCTATCGGTTAAGGGCTTCGGCTCGAAACTGGTAGGTCCTGGGTTCGAATCCCGCGAGAGTGGGTTCGTGGACGCGCACTGCTGAGGAGTCCCATAATAGGACGAAATGGCCGTCCAGTGCTTCCAGGTTTTCCATGGTAGTCTAGCTTCAATTGACTCATGATCTCAACTCTATAAATTACATATTATTATTCACTTTCAAATTGTTAGGTGGAGAATACTATGATTTCTAAAGTGTATTCATTATAAAACTGACCTTAGTTGGAGTATCACTAAAAATCGGGGAGAATCAGAGAGCTGTTTCATCATAATATATAGCTTTTCATAGCAGTGTACACTCATAATACAACCAGAGAGGGAACTCAGAACTTTAAAGTCACGCGGCAAGCTCTATTCCATTAGAACTACTAGGTTAGTGTCCAATGGTACAATTTTGGCTTCAATCCATTAGAGATGTAATGGGACAGAAACTGAATATCATTCATAAAAACTAATTTACTTCTAGTGTCTGAATTTCACCAGTAATGACTTTCAACGGGGAGCTTAAAAAAACAGCCTGAAACAAATCACTACTGAAATGACAATTATAGATTAATTGAAAAGGGTTATGAACGAGCACAGTTGATGAGCCCCGTAATAGGACAAAACAGCGGTCCAGTGTTTCCTAGTTTTTAATCGTACGTCAACCGAGATCAATTTGTGGCTTCACACATTTCCTTTAACGATTTATCAAATTAAACATTTGAGTAAATAAGTAAGGAATATACCTCTCTCAATTTATTCACTAGAGTCTCCTACAGCCACAGCCACTTTTGGTTTGATCTTATATATTTAATTTTTCATTTTATAGTGTGATGAGGTCTAATCTTCTTGTAGATAAAGCATTTAAGTTTGAAATGTACGATTTATATAGCGGAGGCTAATATTTGTATTCTGGATTGAACGAATTGGGTTAGGCGAGAAATTAATATACAGAGGATCAATAAGGACTAAGAGTTGACTCGAAGCTTTTAGTGCTGTTTGACGCATCATTAGATTAGAATAGGGACAAGGGTATGTAAGTCAGTACACTGATTAGCGAGTTTATCACGTGATGTTTGAAGGGCCATGGGATATAACACATAAGGATAATAATGATACTTCTTTGGAACAAGTTTTTAATGATCAAAAAAGTTACTTTCACAAAGAAATAACAAGAAGTTAATCAATTTCGTTAGGGCGCGGATCGGAAAAGCAAGAGCAGCTTATTTACAACTGAAGAACATCTGGAACTCAAAACAATTGTCAATTAACATCAAAGTCAGATTCTTCAATACAAATGTCAAGACAGTTCTACTGTATGGGGCAGGAACCTGGAGAACTACGAAAGCCATTATCTAGAAGATACATGTGTATATTAACAGTTGTCTATACAAGATACTTCGGATCCGATGGCCAGACACGATCAGCAACAAGCTGTGGGAGACAACTAACCAGATTCCAGAGGAGGAAGAAATCAGGAAAAAGCGAAGGAAGTGGGTAGGAAACACATTGGGAAAATCACCCAACTGCGTCACAAGGTAAGCATTCACATGGAATCCTGAAGGTCAAAGGAGAAGAGGAAGACCAAAGAATACATTACGCCGAGAAATGGAGACAAACATGAGAAGAATGAACAAAAACTGGATAGAACTAGAAAGGGAGGCCCAGGACAGAGTGGGTTGGAGAATGCTGGTCGGAGGCCTATGCTCCATTGGGAGTAACAACAGGCGTAAGTAAGTAAGTAAGTAAGTAGTCAGTGTCATTATCAATAATGAAAACATTAATAACTATAAGCAAAATAAGAATGTTTACTAGACTTACCCTGATAACCAAGCGAATTTTTGAGCAAATTTTAATTGTCTTAATAAAGACATTAATTCCCTAGTGTTCAATAAAAAGAAAAAGAGAATATTAATACAAGTGAAAAATGAAAATATCGAAGAGGTTAGTTTAAATGGAAGATGGTTTTTATCAAGGAATGATGAAGTGCAAATAGTTGACGGGTCACATTCGGTTTTCGATGACTAATTCATTGATATTACTACGCGACAAAACCCATCTTCATATAAATATCATTTAGTAAATGTAATTCTTTCCAAATAAAAATATTCCTTCACATCACTCTCCTCTCTCTCTCTCTCTCTCACACACACACCAAGATCACTTACAATTGTCTTGTTTAGATAAAATAGCACAAAACCAACCAAGTCAGGAAGATACAGTGACTAGAAGAGTTTTAACAATGTCCGATGGCATGAGATAGCTAGGTTGAGCATAACCGTGAACTGGTTGTAGCTAAAAACGTAATTCATTGGATTTCTACTCAAAAGTGTGAAAGCCTAAGCTTACTGTGAGACGTGGTCCTGAGTCCGATCCCTAGTGAGGTCGTGGTTGCAAAGGGTGTGAAGAAGTTCTAAACCAGAATAAAACGTTAACCTGTCTAACTCCCTCACATCAATAATAAAAATTACACAGTAAATCAATCTCAATAGACAAAAAGGAACTACCATGAGTACTGACCATATGAGTGTTTGTGTGTATGCAAGTTGGTACTCCCGCATCATAACGATTGACAGTTAATGAATAAAAGTACTAGGGGGCATCAAAAAACGATTTAATTTTTTAAGCATGAATCAGGAGTGACATTTTTTTTACTGCGGAAGAGGAGAGACGAGATTTTGTCAAATGATTAAACAATAATGATGTACAACGAAGATCGAATATCTAATACAACTTCTCTTTCAGATTATTTGTTTAATTTCCAATTATAATAAAGAAGTCGATTGTTTTTTTAATTAAGCTTAATGTGATAATTCAGTGATTAGGACAATTGACTTTCACCTACTAAGTGCATGTCTAAGCCCTGTCTCATGTACTATGACTAATGCAACCAGACATTGTTATTAGCCTTCACAAATTGAAGTGAGACTTGAAGTCGAATCCATTAATCTGTAATTATTAAACAAGTTAATAGTCATTTAGTATTGTTTGTTTGAATCTTCACATTGATGCATAGGACTGAAACTGGTCAGTCACTGAATTCAAACTTCACTCAACTGTACAAGCAAGTGGCTATAAGGGCTCAGTAACTAAGTGGTTAACGCGATGGCGTTTGGAGCGAAAGGTATTTGGTTCGAGTCCCAGAGTGAACATCAACTCTGAGATACAAGTACATCCAGCTGACGAATCCCAAATAGAACGAAACGCACGTCAAACTGGATTCCACTGCTAGCCACTGCTCATCTTTGCTTATACAGTAAATAGTCAGCTTATCATGTGAAATAGAAGAAAGCTCTCCAACAATTCAATATAATGATTAGTCATGGATACAATTCCAGAAGTTGTATAGAATTACATACAAACTAATAAGTGAATTTAATAAAATACGATAATCAGATAGTTTATGAAATTCAATTTTGAGAGGGGAATAATTGCAACCCTACATAGTATCGGCAAACCTTTTAAATGATCAAAGTACAATATAGTGAAATATGTTTGTTTTTTTAAATCAGCTGATGCTTAAAATATTGAATCGGCTTATTATAATAAAAAAAAACTGGCTAGTAACAAATGATATTTGAAACTAAATTTCTTAACTTCAATCAGCCAGTTATGATATCAGTAAAAGAAGGGATAATATATCCTTTCATTAGAAGAAACAATTTATTGAATTCAGTAGTATTGTTTGTTTTGAATCTTCCCATCAATGCTTAGGACTGCAAATGGTCAGTCTCTTATTCACATATGTGCATGCTGTGCGTATTACCTCGATATAGTCTTAATTCACAAGCATTATAAGCAAGATGGATAGTGGAATCCAGGGAGCGCGTTTTGTCCGATTTGGGACTCATCAGATGAATATATCTGCATCTCAAAGTTAATATTCACTCAGGAACTCGAACTTAGTACCTTTCGCTTCAAACGTCATCGCGTTATCCACTTAGCTACTGAATCACCTTATTCCACAAGCAAGTGACTATCAGGACTCAATAATTTGATGGCGTTTGAAGCGAAAGGTACTGGGTTTGAGTCCCAGAGTGAACATCAACTCAGAGATACAAGTACATCCAGCTGACCAGTCCCAAATAGGACGAAACGTGCATCAAACTGGATTCCACTGCTAGTCACTATCCAACTTGGTTTAAAAATAATTTATTGTTCTATCAAAATAAAGAGAAAAAACAAACGACAAGGGATAAAAGTATTGATTTATGCTTAAACATATATCTATCTCTTTCTTTTATCATAATTTATCCAATCAAAATCTATTTTGATCATTGGATAGTTGCTAATAGAATGGATAAAAGAATTATTGGGTTTTCATTTTTGGCAATAAGAGGAGAATAGAGAAAAAAGTAATAAAAAAAAAAATCAAAAAATCGATCATTCATAATGAATGAGAATATAAAAGTGATAATGTCAATAATTTAGTACAAAGAGAAAAGATAACAATGAGAGTCATGAGGCGACGAATGACAACAACAACTACAACAACGACGACAACAACAACAAAGACTATGTTGTTAACTAGTAAATTGACAAAGAAAGTTTGAAGATTATTTTATAGATTAACAGCTAAAGGAGAGAATGAGAATAATAAACAAGTCAGAATTTAAATATGAAGAATCATTGATATTAAAGTATACCAACAATTATCAATGAGTCAATCCTAGTCAGATGAGTTTTTTTTCAGAATTCATAGTTGTTAAGACAATAAATCTGATATATCTCGACGAGAATTATGAATGGTAACTTTTGAGAGTGATAAGTCTTGTCTATTGAAAGCTATATTCGTTTTCCTAAACTATTCTGGCAACCCATAGGCCAGAGCTACTCAGCGACTTGAACACCAGAGAGAAGACGCAAGTATGAGAGGAAAATACTTTATTCCAAAGTTCGTTCTGATACAGAAAATCATGGGTATTTATAGATGTTAGCGTCTGTTAAATCAACATCATATTTCAGCAAATCCTTTAACGACATATTATGATACCGACCAATCGTAGAACGTCACGTTGGAATTCTAGAATGTTCCATCATACTCTGATTGGCTAGGGCTCTTCGGCTCATTTTGGGCCTCTGGAGGCTCCTATTGAAGTTCTCCGGAAGCCAACTCAACAGAGAGCTATTTAGAGACCAATACGGTTCATATATTCTTATTGTATAGTTGTTAAATAAGTAAACTATTCATATTTTTTTATTATAAGCTTTATTTTGATCCATGGACTATTATTATATGATTTGCCATTCTTGAGTTATGTCCAGTCTATTAATTACAGTCTTCCACGTTCACAGTCACATTTGGCTATACCTTGTACAAATGCTATTTCCTATTTTATTGGTACAATATGACCAATTTGATTGATACATAAACCCATTACATTTGGAATACATGATTCATATCGTTGAGGCTAAAACTGGTGTTCTGAACCCAACAGGCAAGGCTATGAAGAAGGGCCAATAAAGATTCTAGACTAGCTCGTACGGATTTACGTATTATTGGTCTAATTGATAAGTCACTGTTCTCTTAATGGCGGTATCAATACGTTATATACTAATAGGTCACAAGACCACAAGTTATAACAAAATCTAAATGAATTGTAATCAATTCATTGTAGTATAGAAAAATAAACATGTAATTTGTCAAAAGAATAAAAGTTCTGTAGTGCTGTACAGTCAGAATTGGTTGATAGTCATTCAGTCAGCTACAACGCAAGACCAAGCACATTTACGCATCGGCCAAGTTGTCATTACCTCAGTAGCACAATAAAATCAACACCGAATTCATAGAAGTAGTTAATTTAGTGGTGGTAATATATAAAATAAAGATTGTATACATACAGGAAGAAAAACAGATATGAAGCAATTTTAATCTCACGGTTTAAGGGAAGAGAGAGTGTATACACCTACGCCATTGTGATCGATTCTGATCCATGTCACACAGAGTCTCCAACCATTGGTTACGATAGTTACGCCGACCCCAACCAAGTAGTCTGTATCTGTCAACATGAATCAGAATAGAACTTAGTGACTTCAAACTCTGATGTCACGTTTTGGTTTGTCCGCCCCTAACTCTCTTCCAACCATCGCCAATAATAGTCAGCATAGCGTGTTGTGGTAATCAATGTTTAAATATATGTAACACGTGGCTAAACCATCTCAGTCTATGAAGATTCATGACCTCATCAACTGATTTACCATCATTCCCTAAATACTCTATGTCTAACCTCACTATTATTTACCCGATGATCCCAGCAAATGCTAGCAATATTTCTAAAACATCTGTGGTCAAATACTAGTAACTTCCGAGTATCTTCTACTCTTAATGGACATGTTTCACAGCCGTAAAGTAGAACAGAACGAACTACTGTGCAGTATACTCGTCCTTCAATTGATTGATAGGATATAGATTGATTTCAATCAAGAATGATATTTATTTTTAGACCATTTGAACATTATTATAAAGTCAGTTGGATAAATACATATTTGAAAAATTACATAGACAATAATCAGCTGATTATGTATGTATCTATGTGAACATATGACTATGTATAGGTCAATAACAAACTAACTTACAAAATAATAACAGTATTTAATACTATGGATAACGTCTAGACATACATAGTTTGTAATGGATAATTATCAGTGTTCCAAACGTTGTCATTGATAAGTTCAGTCATAAATTTGAACACATTCAACAACAAAACCCTTCTATAGACAATAATAATAATAATAATAATATCTGTGGGACAAAGGATATATGTATATATGAGACAAGTGAAGCGGTAAATATAGTCATATGATGACTATATAGGAATTCAAAATATTACTGGAGTAAGATGAAAGAAAGAAATCTCATGACAGTGATAAAATAATCCTTT